GAAATAAATGAAAGAGAGATGGTAGGATTTTGATTTTATTTTTTTACTTATTTTTGTAAGAATTTTAATGATGTTTTTATAGTGTCATTCACACCTAAATTACCAAGGGAAATGAAAAACTTGATGATGTTTAAATGAATTTATTAAATGCAAATTTTATCCATGTTTATCAACATTATTTTCTACTGTTTCCATTTTATTATATTTAATTGTTTGTTATTCGATAATTGAATATGATATTTCATAAAAATGTCTACCTTGGAAACAATAAGAAGAAAATTAAGTGGAAAATCTTTTAATAAAGACGAAGCCGAAACGAATTGGCGTTTGCTAGCAGCATAAATGTAGTGTAGAATGTCCTTTTTTATTTACTCTCTTATACGGAATCATTAGACTGCAAAACTTGCAAAGGATTCCTTTATTTTGCTGTCATTCGAGAATCATTAGTGCTTCCCTTTTTATTTGTTAATGTCGTTTATAATGTTTGCGCTTTCTCTCTCATTTGATTGTTTAATTGTTGGAGATTTTCATTTGTTATCAAAATTCTTTAATATTTCCCTTTCTCCACCATATTTTTTCCATATTAATTAATTAATAATCGTTCAAAATTATCTACTTTTAATCGTATCCTCTAATCTAGACAACCCACTCTATAATCTTTATTATCAAATTGAGTTTTCTTATCATTACCTTTCTTTTTATTAACTCAATACGTTACCAAAAATTTCATTTCAACTAGTTTCTTCGTTATTTCCGTCTACTTTTATTTCAATTTTCACGAGAAACCGCCCTCGCTTTCTCACCTCTCTTTTGTCTTCAACACCACCCTCCCCACCCTTCTCGATCCCGCCTCTCCATCTCCGTTGCTACCCATATACTAGAGCCATCTATCGGATATCTTCTCGACGAATTACCGAAGACTAATTGAAGAGAGAAAGGTTAAGCAAATTTAGAATCTTTATTGCCTGAAATTAATTAGGCTAATTAGAAAAGTGACGAAGTGGATTGAGAAGAAAAGAAAGGAGTACATAGCGTCTACGTCACTTATTCATTTTCCCCTTTTCCTATTTACTTATTACATATCAAAGGAGCAGGGGAGTAAAAGTGAGAGGCTACCAAGAAAGAAAGAAAGAAAAAGAAAGAAAGAAAGAAAGAATCAGGTACCAGGTGAAGGGTGAAGGTATATAAAGAAAGAGCGAGTAAATGAGAAATTCGTATGATTCTTTTTCCAAGGAGAGAAAAATCATCAATGACTATTGATTATATAAAGTAAAAATATAATTATCAATAAAGAATCAATTCCATTATGTATTATAGAAAAAAAGGGAAAAGGGTAGAGAAAAGGGACTGGGGGAGAAGAAGAGAGGTGGAGAAATAAAAATGGAAGGAAGAAGAAAAGAGAGAGGGACACACACACACACACACACATACATACATACACACAGACAGACAGACTAGACAGACAGAGGAGAGAATGGAGAATGGAGAATGGGGAAAAATGGTTAAAAGAGTCTATTAAGAGAATAAAATAATAATAATAATAAAAACGGGTTCTCTTTTCAATAGGCAAAAAAAAGATATAATAAAAATAAAAAGGTCCAATTCATAATAAAATCAGTTTATTTTTAGTTCATAGTCTATTAATGAGATATTTTCAAAAAATAACACAAAATACAATACAATAGAAGAAAAGGAATAAAATAGAAACGCGAATAAACATTGAATAAACAGAATGGAAACAAATATATTGCAAGTTTTCTTTGATGAAACGAATTAACAGTTAAAAATCAAGTAAACATCAATAACCTTCTCTCTCTCTCTCTCTCTCTCTCTCTCTCTTTCTCTTTCTTTCAGATTTTCCTGTCTTTCATTCCTCTAGATAAATAACTTTGGTGACAAACTTTTAGGTTTGAGCCTCTAATAACGCCACTTCTCATATCAGTAACGACTGAATCGTAAAAATTAACAAGTCGTTTACCGTCAGAAAAAGGTTATAAAGGTTATTTAAAGGTGGGTTACTAATGACATGGACGAATTATACACATATTTACCATGTTATACTATACTATACAATATACTATACTGTATATGTACGTTTAGTTACAAGGAGATTCAGTATATATCATCTTCCCGCCTCTCTTCTATTTCGTTCCTCCTTTCACAATTGAATTTATTAGTAGAATTGAAACTTTAATTAAAGTCAATCTTATTGCTTCTAGTACTAAATAGAGAATTGGTTCAATTCGATAGGAGAGCAAATAGTGAACAACGAATCCTAATTTGTATGCTCCATTCATTGAAGAGAGAGTCTTTGTCTAGATTTTTAGGTTTAATAGAAAAGATCGAATTGTTTAAAATATATTCCAATATATTTTCTCTGTCTTCCTTGTTCTTTTATATAAATTTATAAATCTATAAATCCAGTAGTTTTACTCTTTGTTTTGCAGTTGTTTCTTTATATTTTACAAAGTTAACAAACAACATTTTGTGTTTAATGATTTTAGAATTAAATAGAATCTTATTTATTGACTGCTTAGCTCTCTATTGTTCTATTAAATCTGACTACTTTTCATCATAAAGTACATTGGATAGAAACTTTTAAAAGAAAGCGAATTTTTTATTAGCCATTCTAACATCTTTTGATTAAGAGATACTCCGGGGACGTTTCCAATAGATTTCCTATACTATATATTTTTTTTATTTTTTGTACTCTATCCGACTCGTTTCAATCTAGATTTTTTCACTGTCTCTCTCTCTTTCTCTCTCTCTTTATCATTCATTTTTATATTTAACCATCTATACACTTTATCCCTTTTTTCTATTATTCTAACCTCTTAATTAAAGCGCCTTTATTACCATTTTATTTGCTGTTTTAATAAAAAGAGATTGATCTTTTCGACAAGTAAATACACTAATTCTAGCTAAATAAGATGTAGAGAAGGTTAATCATTTCTCTGATGTTTATTGGACGAGAGAGAAGAGAAACTATATTTACATACACACATATATATATACAGTATATATATATATATATATATATTTACATGCTTGTGTGATATACGGTCTATTGGAAAATATATACGGTAGATGGCGGTATTATAAGGCAACGACAAACGCTGATTGAATGCTAGTATATAACCAAGAAAAGTTCTACAACGGTAGCGTATAGGGGAAATAAAGTTGTTGGCTCTGACTCTAGTCTCTTATACATCTAATACAAGTAAATGTACCAATACTTTTAATTGATAACTACTTAATAATTACAATTTCAAATAAATAGATAAGGTAAAATAGTATAAGGCAATATTTTTACTCTAATCGTCTACTGTATCTCGAGTAGGGCTTTTCAACTATCTTTCTAATAAACATAGTACACTTTCTCCAAGTTCTTATTTAAGTATTTTTTATACTATCTCTCCTTCTCATCTGAGTGAAACGCTTAAGGATTTTCTAATCGTCGTTATTGTATTTAACCTAAAAAAGAAAAATCCGTCAACAGGCGATCTACGGAATAAAGAAAAAGAAATGAAAGGAATAAAGAATGAAGGAGAGAGAATTATTTCTCTTGAAATACTGCTTATTGATAAGGGCGTCTAAAGTCAGATTTAAATACCAGTGACGCTTATTAATACAGTCGTATCAGATAGTGTATACAATCTCCCATGTAGGGAAAAATTGCTTTTTTTCAGCGTCTCGGTTTATCAGGAAAGGTATTATGGTAAGGAACATTGAATAGGGTAATTTAAGTGAATAGTCAAAGAAAGCCATATGTGGAAAGAAGTGTCTATTATGATGCTGTTAAATTGCACGTCACTTCCTATTCGTCTTTAATAAGAAGAAAAAAATTAAAGAAAATTGATAAACACTAGCGAAAAGAAGCAAGAGAATTTTCTGTCTCTCATTCTTTCCCATCCCTTCTCTTCTCTCTCTCTTTCAATTCTTCCTTCCTCTGTCTCCGTCCCACGTCCTTTGTATTCCTATTTATTCTCCGACTACCTGTGTCTTTTCCACTCAATGCGTTCTCTTCGCCTTTATTATCTCTGTCTCTTTTTTTCTTTCTCTATTCCCGAAATTAAAATAATTTCTATCGATTAAAAGAAGAAAATAATTATAGAATATAATTTAAGTCAGTTTATTGAAAAGAAAGGATTTGACACTCTACTTTTACAACTGGTATTAAATCATGGCGCTTTTGATTCCAATCGCAATTTCACAGATGACGCCACACTTTTATTTCTCTAAATTGTCTAGGTTACTCGTAAGATATTAATTATATACTCTATAAAACTAATCATAATATCTGTGAAAGTGTGTGGAGTTTATACCTCGAATGAAGAGTATTTAGATAAATGGACAGTTAACTTTTTAGGGAGCGTCTCTTTTCTTTTATATGTACAATTGAAGAATATGTTTATTTATAAAATTAATCTCCCTTAATTACTCTTTATTTATAACCCAACATAAAACTAGATTTTGCAGCTTTTACCTTTTTCAGCCGGAAACGTTTAACATTGTTTTAGTCGCTTTCAGCCTATTTACTAGTTTGCGGAAATTTATGGATATTTACAAAGGGGTACCGTAAAAGAGATCGATAGATTTAGGATTAGTAATTACGACCGCATTACATTTCATAATTATACATTATTTCTTAGCATTTGGCTGTTGTTGTTGCTCTTCTTATATACGTGTTTGTATATGGAATATAATATATATGCACTAGTAAGTGTTGTAAAAGTAGATACAGTATATAAATATATACAGTCGTTTATTAAAACTCAAAATTTCGTTCATTTATATATATATATATGTATAATGTATACTGTATATATATATATATATATATATTACAAAGAGTACAGCACTGACAGGCGATAGAAATTTCGTATAGATTTGGTAATATATAAGTAGTATAATACCATTTGTATACAAATTGATATCGAATACATAAAAATTATATATATATATATACATATATATATATATATATAATAAATACATTACTTTTCCTTATTATTTTCAATATATTATCTACACCGTTCATTTTAAAAAAATAATTAAACAAATCATAATGAATATCGTCATTCTTTTCTCTTCTTTTTTTCTTTCTTTATTTCTTTCTTCCATCTTAAGATTATTACAAAACAAACAAAACAAACAAACAAACAAACATGTTATCATTTATAGTTTTCCTTAATTATGATCTTATTTTAATATTAATTAATAAAAATTACTCTCTTCTATTAACTTTTCATAAAAAAGCTAATGTTCTTGGTTTTTTGAAATATCCTAAATTTTTCTACAGACCATTCTTCCTTAATTGCCTTTCGGCCAGAGCGTAGAATAAGACAGATATTAATAAAAGCGTAATTATTACGTATAGCTTAACGGAAACGCACAAGAAAGCCCCGAGGAAGAAGGCTAGAGCGGCACCGAATCCCTGGAGCATTCTAAAGTTTTGAAAAGCGACGTGGTGGTTGTCCGAGCAACTAATGTTTACTAAACCTGTCCAAAAAAAAATATATATTAAAATGCCTTATTTCGGATAAAAGAATGATTTAAAATTGAGTTTGACATTAAACGATTCCAGTAGGGATTAGACTAAATAGGAATTGGTGAAATGTTAAAAACCCGCTTAAATAGACCCTTTCAAAACAATTCTTGTCCTCTATTAAGTTTTTACTTGTGAAGATTATAGTAATGGCAATATTAATATTAATGTTGATAATTATAATTATCATTAATTTATGATAAATTGTTTGTTTCCTCTTTTTAATCCCCTCGTCCTCTTCATCATCATCATCATTATCATCATCTGCTCTACAATCCCTACTTTATTTAATTTATTTATCCCTGCTTAATTACACATTTTTCAATTTGTCTACATTTTTCGTTTTTCTTTCACAACTTACAATTGCACTGAGTTTGCCAAATAGCATCAGATAGCCCCCAAAGAGCGCTAAGGATAAAAAAGACTGGCTTCAGGTTCTTATCAGGAATCCAGACTAGAAGAAAGACTATAAGTGAAAGGTTTAGGATAGCTCCAATTCCGACAATGGCTTCTCTTGGAAGATGTTTTGCAGATATACCAACCATAAATGAAAAAAGACAATTAGACATTCCAAGAGTAATCATATTGTAACCAATCCATTCTGGACCAATAGCGCAGTTTATATAACTCTAAAAAAGAGGAAAAAGAAAACAAAATTATAGCATTTTACCTATTTTTCTTGTTTTATTAGAGAAATAAGTAAACATATAAAAGTTGTTTATTATTTAATAGACGATGACGTATGGAAAAATTAAAAAGATACTGATTAATGGAAATTTGGTGTCAATTTAATCGGATTTGAATGCGTTGGAATAAGAGTGCGAAATGATAAACGGCTAACTATCTAAAATCTTTAAGCCTATTTCAGTGAATTTACTCTTATTTTTAAATAGGGCTCTGAAAATTGTTTTCTCTGAAAACACTCAATTAACGTGTCTCTTTTATTATTTGCTAAATTAAAATTAATGATGCAGTCAGTTAATTGTTTTTCTCATTATTATCATTACTATCATTTTCCTATCCTTTCTTCTCTCTTCCATTTACTATACATCTATCTATCTTTTCATATATTCTATTTATCTTTGCTTCTATTTATTATCTCTATCCCAACATGCGTATATATACGCATACATCCATTTCATCTCCCTCCCTCCCTCCCTCTCTCTCTCTCTCTCTCTCTCTCTCTCTCTCTCTTCCTATCTCTATCTTTTCTATTTTTCATTTATGATTCGTGCAGTCTCTCTAGAATGCCAATTGATACAGACTTGCGCCGTTAGGTTCGTGTTAAGAATGTGAGGAGGGAATAGAACTGATACTAGAATAACTTGGGGAGTGGGCTGATCGCCTAAGCGAATCGGTCTTACCCTGTTATAGTCTGCGTAGACAAACGCCTGTTCGAATCCGTTGAAAACCAATAATGGAATAAGAAGTCTGTAAATCTTGTGACCAAACAAATGCTGTAGATTACTCCATACCATCTGCAATAAGTCGACTTGATTAGGAAAACATGAAAATTTTAACCAACAAAAATATAATACGACGCATGTTCCATACAAATAAAACGCTTATTAACTACACGCAGTAGTATTTTCACTGTAAATAGCCGCCGAGAAAGAAATATTCGATTGGCTATGACCATAGTTTGTCGTATGGAAAAACGATTAGAAATCGAATTGTGTAACTGTCAGTTGTGCAGGTGATGAGCTTCACCTCGAAATAGGGTAAGAAGAAATCTCTATAAATTTAATTTACTATGAATGATGGTTCCTAGAATAGAATTATCTTTATCGCGTTCTACCTGAATTTTCAAGAAATGCAAGTCGTTGGCTCTATCTTTATTTATTCTTGGTTGAATTTGAATAAAATCACAATCTTATATACTGTATATTTCATTGTTTCTCTTGCTATCTATATCATCCTCTATGTGTTCTCTCTCTCTCTCTTTCTCTCTTCAAGATATATATATATATATACTGTATATGTATAGGAAAATAGAGAGAGTATTTATCAATTTCTTTCCTACTCATCAAGTTCTTTTCTTTCCAAATACCAGTTGAGCCATTCGAGTATCGTGAGGAATGCTTACGCTCCGGGACGTGTAACGAGAATCACTCACGAGCCTACACGCTATATTCATTTTTCTTATTATTATTGCTTTACTGACTACGGACCGTTTGAGTGAGAAATAACGGATACAAGAATCTGTCCGATTTATGGGAATGTTGCGAGGAAGAGAGAGAAAACGTTTAATAGTTGTTATTTCGCTTACAAGAATATTTTTTTTAGTTTACCAATTAGTTTTCCAACTTGTAAAGACTCGAACGATAAAAGACTGTTATATATTTTTTTCTTCTTCAACTGCCAAGTCTAAAAATATCATTCTGATTTAAGAACGAAACATAATTAATGCCTTAGAACCTTCACGTCTCGCCTGGTTATCGGGAAAGTTGTAGAGTTTTTCCTTTTGAATATAGGGGAATAAGGACATATTTATTTAGTGCACTAGTACACAATGATTATAGATTGTTTACTGTGTGTACATTATATACTACATATAGAGTACAAACTATGGATACTCTATATAGAGACTATCGAACCTCTCTCTCTCTCTTCCTCTCTTTCTCTCAAAGTATACACTTCACACAATCGAGACTGGATACAAACAAGAGATCATATAATAAAGAGAATTGTATGGTATTATGTGTAAACTACTGTACACTTGATTCCACCGCTAGTTTGCTTAGCGTTCCTTTAATATAGGCAACGAATAGTTTTATTTAAGGGGATTTTAACATGAAAACAATGTTTTATAATGTCTCAATACGAGAAAAAAAAAGAAGGCGTAAAGGAGGACAAAGGGAGGAGAATGTATTTATACATTAATAAAGGAGAGGAGAGGAACATTTCTAGTTCTTTCCATAATTCGGTATGAAATCAAATCAGAAGCATTTGAGTGTTAGCTTTCTCTATGTTGGAATTAAAGGGAAAATAACTAGAGAAAAATTTGCCCAAGGCTGTTTGCTTATAACACGGTTTTAGTGGTTAAATAGAGAATCGTTGAAAATTGTCTTTTTCAGTTCCTTTTAATTATTATTTTACGCTCTTTTAATCATTTAAATTATTCATAAACTGTAAAAGAGAAGAAAGAAAGAATAAATTCTTTTTACTCCTCTATTTCTCTTTCCTTTTTTTATGCCTAGCTCATTAAATATTATAAACAATCTTCACTTCTTTGACAAACTGTAGAAAACGTGTCAATTACCAGCGATCTACTTTATGTGAATTAGGTTTTTCTTCATTTGGTTACCATTAGTATATTACCCAGTTTGTCAAAGTGTAAACTCTTAAAAGTCTTCTAACTTATCATTCCCTTTCTTTGATATCAAAGTATAGTCTTTCTTTTTACCTATCTCTCTCTCTCTCTCTCTCTCTCTCTCTCTCAGTCATTCCTTGTACATTGGCTACTGATTCTGAACTCGTACGAAGCAAATCCTTTTCGCCTTTAAATCGGTAAATAATACAAGATACGCGAGAATAAAACCAATTCAAGTCAACTGTGACAATTTTACTTCGAACTTAGTTTGTCAAGTTTATCACCTTGGAGAAAACTATTTGAATCCTTAAGGAATCAACGAATAAATTTTTTAGTTTGTCACGCGCCTAATAGAGCTTTTGTGCAGCTAAAGACCTTGGTTATCCTATGTACACTTATAAACAAAGTTAGCAGCTGCGTCAGTTAGTCTTTCAGTGTTATCCTATTTTATACGTCACTCGCTAATCTGATAGCAGTCAGAGTAAAGAAAATAAAGTGTTGGTGAGAAAAATTGAAAATGGGAAGGTGGGAAAGAGAGAGAGAGTTAGGGATATGTGGGAAAACGTGCTAAAAAATGTACCACTATTCCAACCCATGTTACTCTTTACAAAATTTATATAATGCCCCAAGCGGTTCAATTATGAAGAATTAGCTTGTATTGATGAACTTGTCTCCAACTCAATTAATGCATAATATTCATTATTTGTCAAAGTTGTCACAAGTAAATTTACTGCTTTTGCCCTTCTCTTTGCCTTCCCCTTCCTCACAACCCCCTTCTTAACATTTCAAAAGAATGGTAAACACCTACTATTTCATCTCATTCTACCAATCCCCCCTTCCCCTTTTCCTTTCCCCTGCTTTCTCCTTCTCATAATGTATACATTCTCTATTAAAAAGAGAGAGGAGAGGGGGCAGGGAGTGAATGGTGAGAAACGCCTTTAATTTTCTTTAATAAGATTTAATATATTTTCTTTTTTTTCTATTTGGCTTTGAACAAAGGAGAGAACTAATTCAATCATTAGTCCATCCAAAGAAGGACCTTGTATACAAATTCCATCCGTTTCACATTTATCCTTCAGCGGATACAATCACCTATCAGTTCGCTTACTACCGCTGACAGTCTATCGTAAACAAGCTATTATTTAGTCACTTCACTCTGCAAAAATTTAATTATACAACACTTTTTTTTTCTGGGAAGTCGTTGAAATTTTAATTCTAGCAGTCTTCTTTCTCTTTCACTCCCCCTGCCCCTTTTTCCTTAATACCTCTAGCTCTTTCTCTCCTTTCCCATCTTTATTTTATTCTTGTTTTAACTCGACGTGTCTACAATTTGTTTCTCTATTGTAATCTAATGCAGGATAAAACAATTTGATACTGTAAAAACTCTTACAGCTGCCGCAAACTGTTTGTCAACCTTGTCTTGCCGATAAACATTCATTAAAGACATTCGAAGGAGCTTTTGCGTAGACCGCCAAACTAGGCCTTATTTCTTTGACAAACAGGGAGTTGGCCAATGCTGTTAATAGCATTCGAGGGGCATAGACTCGTTGCAGTCGCATTTTTAAACCTTTCTTTGCCTTCTTTTTTTTCCCTCTTGTTTATTCTATCTAGAATCGGTATTATTCGAAAATTTTACAGTAGTAAACTGCAAAGGTTCAAAAAGCAAAATATCCGTAGGGATGATATTATTTTTCATATAAATATACAAATACTTGTACAGCATGTTTATCTATTTGCGTATACTCGTACACGAATATTTTGATGCCAAATGTAGAATTTATAGACAAAAAAACATAGTAGCATTCTTTTTCCTTTGTTTTTTTTATACGTTACAAGTTTTATCTTGTTAACTTAAATCATTAATTTCTCTCTTTCTCTTTTTTTTTCAATGTAGTTAGTGGTGCAAAATCTACAAATTCTCACGTAGAGAACTCTTTTAATGATCCCTTTTAACATTCTATAAACACTAAGACTATTAAGGAATCTTGTTTATCTTCTACATTATTTTTTACATCTACTAATTATAACGCTATGAACAGAGTACATCATTACTGTACTTTTTATATTATTCACCCACTTATCATCTTTTCTTAGTTTGTCTGCAGTTTTCGTCTTCTCTCCCTCTCTCTCTCTCTCTCTCTATCTCCCTCTTTCCCTCCCTACTTCCACACTGTTTATACAGTATGTATCTACTGTACATGTTTAGCTTTAACTTTTCAGGCATGACACTATAAAATACTTGTATTCTTCCGGAATTGCTGTCCATCATCCTTAATTAACATCATTTTCGGAAGGACAGCGAAATGAAAGGTTACATTTGAAGAAAATTCATCTTATCATTTCATTTTTGTCTTTGCTAAGAAAAAAAAAAGATGATTTTTTTTTCAAACGATTGTTTGCATAATTGATCAGAACTGTCAAGTCAATGTTAATCTACCTCATTCAGCACTAATGCACTCTTGCAATCACGTGGTCTACAACATTAAACATTCATCATTTCGAAGTAACGAGTATGAAGAAGGTGTAGTTTTCAGAGGCGTTTAGAAATCGAGATATATAATCGTTTTCCTTCGAAATTTTACCCCGCAAATCCATTTGTATTTATTTTTCATGAATAATTAATCTGACTCTTTGCAATCTTTGCATCAATAACTCTGTATTCGATAGTGCGATAAAAGGATATCGACTCTTCAACGCTCAAGAGTAGAATCCAACTTCCTTAATTACAACCAATGCCGGAATTTAATAATGGAGTGGAAAAAAAAACAAAATGAGAGAAGAGTGAATATATTTTCATTTTTCTTTTGTATCTATCTTTTTATCAATATGCCGTTAATTTAGTTATTTTTTCTTCTCTCTTTCCATTTACGAGAGAGGGAGAGAGAGAAATAGGCTGAATAGGTTGAGGGAGGCGAAATGGGAATATGAGAAACGAATTTTCAATTTACCATTTCCAAACAACGGAACGTATAAGCTCAATAATTGCATGCAAATTTCTCTCAAGGTGAGAAATTTACTGCAGACTTTTTTTGGTCTATATAATATATATAAACTATATATATATATATATATATATGTTTTAATAAAACGCTTTCTACTGTAATACATCACATCTATGTAACGCTGATGGGATATTTTGTACGGCAGTATTATCACTGCTAGACGCTCGTTACTGATTTCCTGCCTTGCAGTGTAAAGTCAAAAGGTTGTTGACACTTGGTTGTACTCGAAAAGAGCTGCAAGAATTGTTGCAGTTGCTGCGAGCAAAGTCCACACTTAATAAGCAAGTTTGCTCCATTTCGCCTAATATTATTAACATGGTATAAGCTTGTCAGGAATGTAGCTGTTTTCCTGCAGCAGTTAGATTGATCGTTTGCAGTTGGAAGTGTAAGAAATTAGCTGTCTGGGGACGTTTTGTAGGTGAGTACAGGAATGACTAGTTTGAAAGAAGGAAAAGGGGGATGGGGGAGGGACGTTTTTGACTAATGTATATACTTTAAGCGTCTACTTTTAAAAAGACGTTTTCTACCAGTTACCAAAAATTCGACTTTACAGCTTCCTCTTTAGGTGGTAAACACTGCAATTCTGCTAAAAGGCATCAAATTACTTTCTTGTTCTGTTTAGAACGAATAAAATAGTAGACTCAACAATAAGAGAGTAAATAATTTATATATTCTCCTTCTCTTTTTTCTTATAGTTTCCCTTCAACGTTTATTTACTTGAAAAAAACATAAGAACACTCTAAATTTTATGTATTTCTAGCTGATAAGCATCCTAACAAGATTAGGAGTTTAAAAATGATCGCCAGATGGCGCTTTTCAAAGTTTTTCCACCCAATGAAGCCCGACAGAGATATCTAAGAGAAAAACGGACCGTAGAGTAGGAGAAAAATAAACACAAATATTCCGTTTTAAAAAGCACAAAAATCTCTCTATCTACAAATAACAAACCGACCAAAAAGGCCTATCACCACCAAACATCTGTTTGCAATAGGAAATCGGATGAAAAGTCATATTATAACGGCGGACCGACGCCATAAATCCCGCTCAATCATTATCCGAAAATAGACGGTTGTCAATTGTTTGTACAAACAGGCTATATTCCATTAAATACACAATGAAAACAGAATATATCTTGTAATTTTCATATTTTTTATGTAATTTTTTTATTTACTTTCCAATCGAGAAAGATAATAATCTCTTACGTTTTATCCTTTCCCTTATTATTTCCTCTTTTTACCACCTCTTAGACTTCCGCTTCTTTTTCCTTACTCATCTCTCATCTCTTTCATTCCGCCTTTTTCTCCCTCTTTCTCTCTCATTCTCTCTCTCTCTCTCTCTCTTCCTAATTGTCTAACATTTTACTATTCAACACTTTTCATTTATTATACTTTTCTTGTCCTCTTATCATATCTTTCATCCTCTATCTACACTCTCTTTTCAATTTCAAACAACTCTTCGTCTTAAATCGATTTTTGATTTGGGGATGGGTGGGGATTAAGAGAAATTTCATTTTGGTTAATTTTTTATTTGAAGATTATCGATTAAGAATGCTATGATTAGCGACGAAGGAATAAGTCTCCTCATTTGCCCAACTGTAAATGGATTAAAAAATGAGTTGTAATTGATTTTGTAGTATAGAATTGTTTGTATTTTGGTTTTTTGACGAGATGCTTACGTTTGATTAATTGAATTAGGACAGAGATAATTTTATTACGTTTTGTAAAATTGGTGGTGAGGAGATCGGTAGTAAGGAGCTAGAAGGAAAAGAGAGACGAGAAGAGAGAGGAGAAAGGGAAAAAAATTAGACAATGTTAAAAAGAATGAAAGGGTTGACGAATTAATTGTAGAAAAAGAAATATAATGATAGGGGAAAAGAGAGAGAGAGAGAGGGAGACAGAAAGACAACGATGACAAACCCATATGAATTGGGTCTTGTCATAGTAGATATAGAAATGCAAGAAAGAGAAAAATTGGATAAAATTTCGTATGGCTTGCCTTTGAAAACAATTTCTAATGTTCGCGTAATATGAAATACGAAGACTATACAATGCTCCGTTTTTACTGATGACCTTTAAAATTGAGACTCTTTCTTTCTACCTGGATTACTGATATTCGCCTTCTTTCAGCCGGTAACAAGACTTTTTGCCCACTGAAAAAGAGTTCTTAGCGAAAAACTCGACTCTAGCGGATAAGAAAAAGCCTTTGAAAGTCTTATTTCAAAAGTAAATAGTCGTTTGGCTACCAGAAGAAAATTTTCCGTCATTTTCTCTCTTCCGTTCTCTCATTTTTCCTTCCCTTTGGTAAACCTATAAACCACTTTATACATTTTTCGTCTTTCCTTCTCCTCTTGTCATCTGTTTTCTTCCTTTATTTCATCTTTCCTCCCTTCCCAACCTTAACGTCGCATAAATCAACAGCTTTTCCGCCCCACCAACTTACTTCATTACAACGAGAAGGAAATTATAAATGATTGCCGGCGTAGAATATTTTTTCCTTCTTGATTTTATTTACAAAAAAATTGAGGCTAAATCATAAATGTTAACAAGCTTGAAAACTATATAGAATATCTGGTTTGAGATGGATTTATGTAATAGAATATAATATTTAAGAGAACTCTTTTCATCTCCAGATAACTTTAGACGGTCCTTAATTGATATTTTCTAATCAATACTTTTCACCAGTATACTCTTTTAGTCGTTAAATACCACTAGCCATTTATATACAGTATATATATATACTGTAAAATCCTCATTCTTCGTTGCATATAACGCACAACGCTTTGCTTCAACTACTCTTTTTTTCCTTTTTTTTTGTAGAGCTATCTAGTACACTTTATTCCCTTCATTGAACTAACGAAACGCCTCCAGTGTCTTGGTTGGCGTCTCTTAAAGATCCTAAAGGGATTCATTCCAATCTTAATCGACAAGGTAGGTTATCATACAACAAGGGTTGAGGAGATAGAAAAAAAACTACAATCTATCGAAGACAGGCGAATGCACAAGCTATCTAGCTTGATCTACTAAAGTGTATGTAATTAGCTGTTAGTCGTGAAATTGGTCAACTTTTAATTGCATCTTCTCCCACGGAAGCGAACAAGTTGTCACACAAAACAAATTGGTAGGCGTCGGGGCAAGACGAGTACCTGTCTCAGAATTTATTTACGATATTCTCCCAACTTTATTATACTGTATACCAGATAATATTCATATGTTTGTCCCTTCGAATAATATAATAATACTAGTAATATTAATAATAATAATGATAGTACTAATAATCATATTAATCATACTATTTTTAATAATTATAATAGTCATACATAGGGAGAATATTAGAATTTTCACACCTATTTTTCCACTTTGAAAAGAAGAAAGAGAACATTGGCGGATTTGATTGAATAAGAAAAATATTTTGAAAAGAAAAAGGGGAAGAAAGACGCTTTATGAAAAAAAAAATAAGTGTTTTTTGTTCTATTTACGGAAACGCTAATGACAAACCTGCAAACAAGGCTTTTCCGGATCCGTTTTAGCGCCAATTTTATCCAAGAAGAACAAAATAAAAACGAAGCCAATGAAAACGAATACGAGAAAGGACGCCATTAATTTAACCATAGATCGAGGTGCTAATGAGTCATCTGAAGAAGAATAATATTAAGTTCATTGTATTGAAATGAATCAATTAATTTTTATATTAACATATTCATTGCTATTATAATGCCAATTTGTCAGCAATACGATATATACTACGTTGCTATTGTAAATTTACATATGCAAATGAATGAGGCTATGTAATCCCCTTGAATAGACCAACTATATATTTTTTGTCGATCTAAATACTTCTAGTGTCAACCTAAATCTGGGATATATAAATCTCCTTAATGGAATATAAATGTACTCTTTAACAAGCAAAAGAAGCAGAAAATAAAAACGAAGGGGGAAGACGATAGCGAAGAAATATCATGCATTATTTCTCTTTCTCCTCCTTTAAAAACGTCCTTCCCTTCTACTCACGTGACGTCACTAACACACGAATTATTAGTGTTAAAAATAGCTTTATCAATTATGCGAGCCGTCTAATCTACCGTCCAAGGGAATTAAACTATCTATCTGTCTATCTCTTTCTCGTATTTTTCTCTCTTTCCGTCCATTATCTGCTTCTAATTGTTGATTTGTTAATAATTACACTGAACGCTTAATAAGCTGATAATCAATTATGAAATTTTTTGTAATTTGAATAAATTCTATTCAAGCAGAGCTATTAACAACCTGTTATGAATGATTGATAAATAAAGGTACGTATGGTCTTTTCCTTCTTCCTTCCTTCCTTCCCCGACTGCCTGTCTGCTTCCCTGTCCACTTTTTCTGTTTCTTTCGCCGTCGCTCTCTCTCACTCTCTCTCCCTCTCCCTACCTACCTACCTACCTCGCACCCTTCCTTTCTCTTGTATACTCTATACTTTTCGTCTAATGTGTTGTAAAAAGAGAAAATAGATGGTAAATTTCTTTAAAGGCCAAGTAAAAGAGCGTCCCTAAAAGAATATTGAATTTCTCATCTAATTAGTATATGATACTTGAAATTCAATTATCCAAAAGTCTTTTTTTTTTATTATATAGATTCTTTCCAAGATTTCAATTAAACTCTTAAGCCTTTTAATTGCTGGGATAAGCTGTTAAACGAGCGAGAAAAAACTTAAGTTCTCACCTCTCGCCCCTCTTCCACCCGATGCCATTTATCTATTTATCCGTCTCTCTTTTATTTATTTGTCGATAAAGCAATATTTACGTTATTAATTATTCGAATTCAGTAAACAAGCTTTCAAATGGAAACAAAAGAAACTGTTCGCTATCCTACGGCTAAGATCTATAGGCAAAACTTTTCTCTGCAGATGTTACTTGGCTGAAATCGTTAAGCTTCTCTCACTAAAAATCTTAACAGCCGTTTGCGCTTTCGAATTTTTGATCGAATTAGCAAAGAGAAAGAGTAAGAGCTACTAATGAATAATAGGATAATAAAAAGAGTAGGCAGATAAACGAAGCGAATAAAAGACTGTATGGGAGAAAGAAATGAAGGATTATCTTTGTACACCTTGCTTATTTAAAACATGGCTCGTGAGGTTAACTAATTACATTTACATGTGTAACTAGACTGCAGTAGGCTGCAGCAAATAATTAACTGACTAAAGTAAGCCTATTTCTCCTAAATTAGCATATTTAGTCCGGCTATGCATTCTAATTTAGCGGGGTAGGCGTCTATTATTATAGCCCTACTCATACTTATTCGTGACTTTGTCGCCTGTTTTTTCTCCGTTCTATTAATACTATTCATGAACCGAAAATAACTTAATTACTATAGAGAATTAGAAAACTTATGTTTGTTTGTCGTCTGTTTGTAGTTTTTTTTTTAATTTCTTTTCAAAGCCATAGTCCCATAATAACATTTTTCGATTAAAGATAACAAAGATTTACGTCCTAGTCTCCCATGGTACAGATCTCAGCCATGAAGAGGATTAATTATGCAAACTCTCATGACCAGAAAAAACTACTGCTCCTAAAGCCTACTTTCATCCTTATTTTTTCTAACCCTGATTTTCTGCCCTATTCTAAATAATCAATCTTCATTAGCATACAACAAATAATAGAAACATTAAAAACTAATGGCACATAACACTCAATCCAGCCTATTACTTTCATTAAATCCATTTTTCCACCCTCGTTTCACCCTTGTCACCCTCTCTTCCTCCTTCCCTCTCTCCCTCTTTTCTCTTATTTCTTATAAAATAAATATTTCTTTGGCATAATTCCAAAAATTGTTTACTTATTCGTTTTTCTTCCAATAAATAATTTTCTTTATTTATTGTTTTTATTAATATATTGATGGAAAGAGGCGAGAGAGAGAGAGAGAGAGAGAGAGAGAAAGAGAAAAGAGAGTCTGCTATAAAAAAAAGACGATGAAAACGATAGAAGAATATCTTACGCATTGTACAATCAACGTTTCAAACAGCTTTTGCTCTTCGATTTCATCGACTTAAAGAGAAAAAAAAAGAGTAAAAGAAAGAATACGAAAGCAGAAATTCAACGAACAGATAGACAGAATAAAGAAAAGAACGAGAGAAAAGATTAGAGTTAATTGGTCAACACGTATGCAAGTTAAACATTGTACATTAAATTACGGTACTAGAACTATTAAATAAGTGCGGAGTTAACTCTAAGAAAATTCCTGTTAAAATATTTATATAATATTGTAAGTGATCATAAAACATTAGCTACTTACATTTAATTTTCTATATTAATATTTTGTGTTTTGTAAGAAATACAGAAAGAGAGAGAGAGAGAGAGGAAAGAATCAGACGAAAAAGAGGAAAAGTAAACTAGGAATTCTTTATGCGAAGAACAGGCCGTGCTTTACTCTTCTTTCTAATTTCTATTAAAATTTAAAAGATATTGACTTCTTACGAAACGAAAGATATAAAGTGAAAATAACGTTCTAAACCGAAAATAGACTTTTATTTTTAGTAACGTAGGTTGGTTCCCCCCTCCCCTCATTCTGTCTCTCTCGCTCTGTCTCTGCCTCTCTTTAGTTCTATATTGATAATTATTTCTCTAAAGGTATAATAGATCGTAGTTGATTATTACGTAAGATTCTTTCTGTTGCCTATAAAACCTATTAATTAGGTACTTTTTGGAACGAAAATTAAAGAGTAGAGATAGCGTCAATGTATATGCCATCTTTCGTTTGAATATTACTTTACCATCAATATCAATTTGGCTAAAAATATCTATACTTCATCATTAAAGCAGTACTCATATTCATCCTCAAGTCGCCCTTCGTCTATCAACAGTCTCCCAGGAGAATTCGACTTTGTTAAGTTCTATACAAAACTTGTAAGTGAGACGTTTGTCAGAAGACAAGAAGTCTCGACAGTCTTTACAAACATCTGGGCAACATTTCATGTTAAACGCGTCTAATCGTTATTGCAGTCACAATCGCAAAACGGATTTGATTAATGAATCTATAAAAAGTTGCGTGGTGTGTTTTCTCCTTGGCCTTTCCTGATTCTTTATTGTGGTAGTCAAAAAGCATCTCGTGGGATTGTTATCGGTCAGTAGTCTTAAAGAATGCACTAAGGGATAATCAATGACGAGCCCTACTTGCATAATATTAGCTAAACAATGACTCAAGCTCTCGTCTAAATTAGTATTCTTAGTCAATTTTCCCTAAATTAGGAGTCATTATTTCTGAAAAAAATTCCTCTACACAAACGTAGAAAGAGAGAGAGAGAGAAAGAAAGAGAGTAAAAGCAGAGAGTTGAAAAAAACAATCATTTGATGTATCCCATAGAATATTAATAAAGATGATTAAGACCCTAACTTGATTTATATCAGAAATGGTCGTCACATACCGGAAACTTTAGCTGGACACTCATCTACTCACTCTATCTATCTTTCTATCTTCCTCTATCTTTTTTTACTTTCACTCTCTATCTATCTATCTCCCTCTCTTGCTTTCTTTCTCTATTTCTTTCTCTACTTATATTCTTAATTATAAAAACAAACAGAAAATAGAAAAGACGAATTTAAGAGGAGCGAAGGGAAGAGAAAATGCAGAAATAGGTGGAAAGAAAACATTACAAAATATCCCAAATCTATTTTCCCAATGCCTTTTATTATTTGAGGGTATTTGAGAAAAATTGCAGTTGGAGATAATTGCTGATTTCCGGGGAGAATCTTAATGGTTAGAAATTCCCATGGGAATTTAAATTGAGGGCTTAAAAAAGCGCAACAGCCGTTGCGATTAGCCGCAGTTCCCCTCTTTTTTATTGCTTTATCTGTCTAACTGTTTTTCCTTTTGTCTATTCGACAGCTATATTTTCAGATAAATTCTTATGGTTTGTTTTATTATTCATGCTGTTTCATTCTGGTTGTTTTGTTCATCTTTATACTTTATATACGAAATATATACTGTATATATACCAGTTACCGCTTTCTGCTTGTTTCGCGTATCGTTTTAACAAGGTTAACTTTATTTCTCTTTGACCCTAAAATTATTGACCTTTTCTTTTTTCATTTATTTCTTTAACACTTACCTTGATATTCAGTTGAGTTGTAGTTGTATGCCAATTCTCCGCAAACTTCGAAAACTCCGCAATCTCTACTTCTTTCCGTGTCTGTGTGATTCGATGATTTAACACGTTTAAATTGATCAGATGACAATAAAATGGAAGACACTAAATTTCCCCAAATGTGTGATGTTTGAAAACATGCCAAAAAGATTCCATTATATCTATACAATCCCGATTGAGTTAGAGTTTTGGAGGCTATAGCGGCGTCGGAAGCAAGCTTTTCCATATAGGAAACCTGCGCTCCCCAGGCCAAACTTTGACCGAATCCAACTCCTATACTAGTAGGTATTAGTGTGTAAAAATGGGGATAAAAATTGGCAGCAGTCCAAAAGAGGTAGAAGAGTAATCCTAGTACAATTGTCCATTTAGACGTAAGTTTTCCTATAAGGACGGGTGCGCAGAGACACGTGAGAAACATCGATGTATAAATGCATGTCATTGCTATCATACCGAGTTCGGATTCTTTATTCAAACTTGATTGTAGATTTTGTATTGAACGAAAAGCCGAAAATACAAGAATAAAACTAAGCGAGAGAATAATAAGATTTTTCTTATACCAATATTCCTTGTGCAAAGGTTCTCCTGAGTGACATTTGATGGCGAATACAACATCATCTTCAAAGTCGTGCACTTTTTCCGACTTGGTAGTTGGCGTATTTATCGGAGTGTCATTACCATTAATTGTAGTTTCAATACAGTTGTGCCCTTTACTCGTATCTTCTACGGTAATCTTTACGGAAGAGCCACGCGGCGTCATTGGCGTCATTGGTGTGATCGGCGTCGCCGCACCAGATACGGCTGACGAAAATTCATCTAAATCGTAATGTTCGTTGGCTATTTTGTAAGAATCCTTTCTCTTTTGCTGAACGAAATTTTCGATGAAATCACCACCAGAGGCAGCAGTCGAATCCGATTTAGTCGCGGATCTATAAGACTCTGACCTCTGACGCAATTGGGTAGCATAGACATAAGATGCTCTTCTAGGCCTGTATAAAGTAAAATCAAATGAGATGGCGTTCAAATCCCATGGCGACAACGACATGTTCACTCTTCTCCATTCGATCGCTAACTGACTCAGCAATCGAGCGAGTGCAAATAGTAGCCGACAAGGGGTGGCGCTGCTTTTTTTTACCCTCTCATCGGCATCGATGATAAGTGTGATTTTTTTTCCTTTTTCCCTCTAATTTTTCTGTCTGTCTATCTGCACTATCCGTCTGTCCGTTTATCTGTCTATCTGCATTTTTTTTTCTATAAATGAACAGTATGAATGTGCATATCTATTCGTACGCACATGTTTGTCTGCCAGTCAATCTGTTTATCTCTACTTTCATCTCCTTCTATATTTGTTCCTTGCCTATTATTTGGAAAAATGAGTAAGTCTATTAGTCTATTTATCATTTTTTACAGATTTTAATTACCTTCAAAATCTTTTCTTAACCATTCTATTTTTCCTGTCTTCTCCTCATCTCTTACGTATAGAGTCGTCGAGGGAGACATTTTCACGACAACGATGGCAATCTAATCGTTCGAGATTAACAGGGTAATTAGAAATAAAAGCATTTCTTCTACCTTTTCTACTCGTACTTGTCACTTTTCTCTCTCTTTCTCTTTTTCCCTCCCTCTTTGAGTCTCACTCCTCCTCGTTCTCTCCTTCCTTCCTCCCCTCCCTCACTCTCTTTTCACTTTTTGTCTTGCGTTAATTAAAGTTTTAATGATACTTTAAAGATATACTTTTCTTTGGCTACTTCTTTTTTGTGCGCTTTCTATCACTTACCTTCTCTTCCTTATAAATCTGCATCCCTTCCAAGTTGAGATTTTTCCCTCTGCCACTTTCCGATCACTCTGTGGTCTCTCCTATGTGCCTCTTTAGCCGTATTTCTCATTGCATTTTTCTATTTCGTTTCTGAAAGAGGCTGAGCGTGGGAAATTCGGGTGGAAATTGAAAAAATTACGATTTTTTCCCCTCTATTAATTGTTCATTATTCGAACGCTAATTCCCCTTTAACCGTCGCATGCTCATTTCTCGCGCTCTCCTATTGATCGGAAACCCGAAATAGCGATAGCCGATATTAGAGAGGATGTAAAAATCAATGGCATGACCATCTGTATTTTGAGAGCGGGATCGGGAAAAGAAGAGTGAGTAGAAGTGAGAAAAAGAAACGTACAATAGATGAATTGTTAGGAGAGTTTGTATAGCGGTCGTTATAGATGTTGTTTTCTTGTTGAGCGACGCTCGAGAATCGACTGAGTGAAAAACATGTAAAGTTTGTCGATGAGAGCCCGGTAGCTATAGACAGTCGAAACGTGACGCTCTTCACAGAATCTTCTTTTGCCTTTAATTATTGACGGACGTGTACAATTACTGCTTATCTGCAATTTTCACTTTTGATCAGTAAATTTGTTAACTTTATATCAGTTTTGGGGCCTGAGCCAGGTGATATTAACAATAGCTTTCCCTGCAAACTAGGGCAATTGTTGTATGATTTATAGCCTGTTTCCTGAAGGTAGGACGTTATGCTTAAACAATAACTAAGTAGATGGCGTCCCCCCTTTTTTTTGTTGCTGTCGCTCATCGTCCTTCCTTCTTGCGTATTTTTTTTTCGCTCCCCGATTCAATTATTTATATTTCCCAGACCGATTGAGAAAATCCACCACAATTCACTTGATACAAACAATCTAAACTACTATATTTTTACTATTAAACCAACTATAATAATACAATAAATACGACTAATAAATCTAATTATAACAGTAGTAATAGTCAAGTCTATTGGTTATATTATATTGTATATGATCACCGCCGTACCCTTTCACTGCCCCCGCGTGACCCCCTCCCTCCACTCTTTTCCTCCTCGTCTTCCGCCCTCTTCTCCGCCTTTAGGACAATCAACATAACTCTGCTCAAAAGCTATAGGTGAGCCTCCAACTTTTATTTATTTAGGCTTCTGCCAATATAATTATCCTTATATATTTCTTTTTCTTGCTCTTTTCAAGTATTACACAGAGAAGTGATGAAATGAACACTAAAAAAGGGACGCAGCAGTATTACTTTATAAATAGAAATTATGAAAGGGGAGCGCAAAAGAGAGAGAGAGAGAGAGAAACAAAGATAAAAAATCTATATGGTCGTGTTCATCCAACTGTTCAACCAAGACAAAAAGCCTACTCTCTTTATGTTTAAATAGCAAAAAAAAAACAAAATTGTTGGTTTGAACAGAATGAATATTTTTTTTCGATAAAATGAACATGTAGAGTAAACTTGGGAAAAAATGAAATAACCTTGACTCTTTACGCATAGACGGGTTAAAAATTAACTCTTTATTTCCCGTACAGATGTATGTATGTATATACTGTATATATATGTATGTGTGTGTGTGTGGTTTTTTTTAGTTTTTTCATATATATTTTTAATATTCAAGCCTTTCATAAAGACTATAATAAATAGTATAGACTGGCTACCCTATCGTCGCTCTTTTTAGGTGTTTACAACTCAATAGGAGAACTTGTAACAAAAGGGCAAATACAGTTCGCCTTGTCAGACTATAATAATCGTCAGCGTACTCGATTGACAATTTACCTGCGTGATTTTAGTCGATATTTTTTTGTAAAACACTGCAATACGTCATCAGTCTACTGCAAAATAATGTCACACCAGAAATTGTATAAGGCACATTCGAATCAACTTCCTTCGACGCAACCAGTAGCTGTTTTACCGCAGAATATCTACTCTCGTCCTGTTCATCATCTGTCGTCTAACTTTATGGTCGATAAATATCTAAGGTTTATTTTTGATATTTTCAAATTGTTTGAAGATGTTTTCGTAAGATTGTAAATAATTCTATTTATATTATTTACTCTTTTCATTGGGAAGAGCTTCATTCTTGACATCTAGAATCTCTTACACCACTAGATGTCTCTTGAACATTTAAAAAAAAAAACATATTGAAATCTCCTATTACTAACACCAATATATATATTCTACTCTTTTTCTTATCCTCTTATATCTTTCTCTTCTCTGCATATTTTCCATATCTGTATCTCTATCTGTATCTGCATCTATACGTAGACAGGTTCTATGGGACATAGAGATAATATTCATACATTTTGCTTATTGAAAAACAAGTAAACTCTTTTATCTATAAAAGGAAATTCCATTTTTCTTTCGTTTACATAAATCCTTTTTTGTTGTTTTACTTCTTTCTATATTTTTTCAACACAACTGTTCAAGCTGAATTCAACAGCGGCAAATATTAAAATTTGAATAAAATTCGAATTCAACCAACGTTGATTTTGAAAATAGAGATAATTAAACTATCTGCCCAACTACAGATGTCTCTCTTACATTCAATATTGAAATCTCTCCTATCCTTTACACCCCCAACCCCCCTTACATATTCTGTATAAAAATCAATATCTCCGGCAGATCAATGGTTAACTCGCCACCGGAAGTAAGGGAAAGACCGAGACGAAATTCAGATCCCTCTCAAAGAAAATTATCCACTCAAAGTTCTTCAGGAATATTTATTGCATCGGATTACGATAAAATGACAAAGCAATCACCAGCAATGGGAGATAGTCCAAACGAAGATTTCGAAGAATTGCTCACTTGCATGATTTGCTTTGATTCTTATACAAATCCCAAAATGTTGACTTGCGGACATACGTTCTGCGAGGACTGTCTTGCCGGATATAACAATAGCTATGTCCAACAGAAGAAGCACGTTCCTGGACAATTACCTTGTCCAACATGTAGGGAATATACTCCTCTTCCAAAAGTTGGAATTAGCGGTTTGAAAAATGATTTTAAGATAGAAAAAATAAAGAGAATGGAAGATATGTTTAGAACAGTTTCTAGAAGGTAAAATTAATATATTATAGCAGTTATCGTTGTTGTTATTGTTGTTGTTGTTGCTATTTTTGTTACTATTATTATCATTATATTTTTCTTGCTCATCTTTTTCTTCTTTCAAATTATAAATTGAAAAAAAAATAGAGGAAAAGTATGCGATTCGTGCAAGGCTGAAAGGAGAACGACTAAGTCCCAGTTTTATTGTAATGATTGCGGTATGAAATACTGTAAGTCGTGCGCTGAAAAGCACAATAGAAGCCCTATATTATCTGGCCATAATATCATAAACGATCCGGATAGGAATGGGGAAATTTGTAAAAATCACTCGCCAGAAGAGGTTAATACTTTATTTCAATTAATTACACATATTAATATTACAGTTAATACAGTGTAATCATAGATATTTTTGCAGTTATGTACCTAAACGTAACTTTTAAAGTACTCACTAATTAACCCTTTAATGACTTCATTTAAAGTATTCACTGTTTTCAGGTAAAGTTTCTATGCAAAACTTGTAAGACGGTTGTTTGCGTAGTTTGCACTATTCACGACCACGAAGGTCACGAGTTTGTTGAGTTGAATAAAATATTTAGGTAATATTACAACTTTTTTATAAATACATATTAAATTGTTATGATATATTTCTCCCTATCTGTCTATCTATCCGTCTCTCTCATTTCTCTATTCCCTTTTCCAACAGTGAGAATCAAGATAAGATAAACAATCTAAAAGAGATTATACTGTCTAAATTGTCAGAGATGAAAGGCAAAAGAAAAGATATAGATTTACTTCGCGAAAAACATTTATTCGCTTGCAATTCGGCTGAAAAACTATTGAAAACGTGTACGGAGAAATCTATTTATCAAATAAAGAAATGTCAAGAAGCTTTAATGAAGGTAAAACTAAGCACAAACTAATGAAAACTATTTACCACTTTCCGTTACTATCCAGGAATTGGCTATTAAAAAGGATGAAAAATTAGCTACTATTGAACAATATAAAGAAAATCTTGATTATATTATTGCGGAAGCCCACGGCCTTCAAAGTTTTGTCTCATCTGCCATGGAAACTTCAAAAAGTGTTCGAGCTATAGCAATGTTTGAAGATTTAATAGAAAGAATGAAAACTGTAAGGAAATACTATATATATACATTTACATATATATACATATTTGATAATAACTATCGGCTATTACTTTTCTCTCTCTTTCCTCTTTCTATCTTTTGTCTTGTTTGTTCAATGGCATTCTCTTTCAGATCTCCAAAACGGAAATCAATCAAGATGACGTTAGTCCGTACCGTTTCGTGTCTTTTTCCGAAAGTATCCTTCCTTTGTCTATTGGAGAACTTAGGGAAACCGACGACCCTCCCAAATTTATTAGGCAAACGCCAACAAGGCAAATTTCCAACGAAAGAGGCGGTAAACCAACTTTAGTTTTTAAAATCGATAAGCAGGGCTCGAATCTTGGTGAATTAAAAGATCCGTTGGGCGTGACCTGCCTAGCTAACGGTAATATAGTCGTTTCCGAATGGGGAAACGAAAGGGTTCAAGTCTTCGACCCTAATGGAAAACATTTGTCAGTTATTGGAACTGGTCTTATTCAACCTCAGGATGTCAGTTGTACTAGAAAAGGTAATATACTAGTATCTGACGCTAAAAATAAAAGAATTGAGGCCTTTTCACCGATTGGTCCAACTGGAAAGTCTATTAGTAAATGGGGACTTGGAAAATTTGTTCAGCCTTGCGGTGTAGCCGTAAGTTCAAATGGAAACTGTGTTATCACCGACATTGCTGAATGTTCTGTCAGCATTTTTGAGGTTTGTATTAATGCTAGCTGTAGGTTTTTTTTAGTTACGAAGTAATAGACCATTGCCTGACGTGTTTTAGTCTTTCTTTTGAGTATTAATTACATAATCAAAAAACACTATTCGAACTAAACTAAGCATACAAATGAGCATAAAAAACAATGTATTAAACAGAGCGAGAAGAAGGAGTTGGTCAGGTTTGGAAAGATGGGAGGACGAAGAGAAGATTTTAAAAATCCTCTCTATGTCGAAACATCGGAGAAAAACTATATTTACGTGTCGGATTCTGACAACCACTGCGTTAAAGTCTTTGATTCGCATGGTAATTATCAGGGTAAAATTGGTTCGAAAGGAGTTGGACCTGGACAATTATTATATCCGCGAGGTGTCGCTTTCGACAGCGATGATAATCTTCTAGTGGCCGACAGAAACAATCATAGAGTCTGCAAATTTACGCGAAACGGAAAGTTTCTAAGGGAGATTTTAACTCGTTACGACGGAATAAATTTCCCATATGGAATCGCGTATAGTTCAACAAATAGGTTAATTATCACTGAAAGTGGAGAAGATAGAGCGGCTTTAAAAATATTTCAATTATGATTAATAAATAATATATATACTATATACTGTATGTGAACAGATAGAGAGATTTTATTTATCGCTTTAGCAATATGTTCGTCTATCATGCTAATCTTTCTAACATAGTTTCTCCTCTTCCTTAATTCTCTTTGCGGAAGAGAAAATTCAATGTAAACTATATTCCTGAGTAATTACCTGTTCATTCATTCGCTTATTCAATTAAATATGTATTCATTCATGTATTCACCTATTCATTCAGTTATAGAGTCAATCTGTAGACACATAATGTGCCGCTGTCTGTCAATCTATCTCTTTGTCTCTCTCTCCTCTCTCTCTCTCTCTCTGTTGCCTATTTAATTTATTGTGGCTTTTTATCTTTTGTACAAGACAAGAAAAGTGCCTAAATAATGCTTCAAAAGTGAAAAAATTGTTAAATACGAAGAATATTTATATATAAATGTCCTCCATGTTTTACTCTGATGTTATCTTCTATATGAAAATGAGAAAATAAAAAATTAAATTCAAAGAGATTATTACAAATGAAAGTTGACTGAATAAATAGATTAACTAATTAATTAATAATTAACTAGAAATAAGTAGTTTAACGTCTATATACTCGTTATAAGAAATTATTAAGTCGGCGCACGCCCTATTCTTTCTAATAGAATTAAACAAAAAAACTATTTTGAAAAGCAGTGGCGAAATTAATTGGAAATTTATTAAATAGAGCCTGTATAATGCGAATAATGGGGTTATTTCAGTAATTAACAACTATTGAAAAGCTGTTACCAAACGGCACTACCGCTTCCACGTGTTCCAATAAAGATAATAATACGCAAATATGATGTTGTGTCTAACCGCTATAACATTTGATACTTGTATGTATATTACTCACTAATAGACCATCCCTGTATTTTCTATTCCTTCTCACAAAGTAACTAGGTGTATGCTTTTTCTAACTATTTTACAATACCCCACAATTCTTCTCTCTCTCTCTCTCTCTCTCTCTCTTCTAAGCTCTGCTTAAATATCAATTTGTTTCCTCTACTTGACTAGTTTCTCTTTCCTCTTATTCTACCCATACTTCAATCTTAATTGTTAGTTCTTTTCAGACTTTTTTCGCTAGTAGGGAATGTATCAGATGACGCCTAATCGGATGCGAGGGGATAAAGATATAAAATGAATTAAAAGCTAAATTTTTCGATTGAAAAGATCGATAAAATATAACGGCAACACTAAAGGATGCTGAAAAAATTTGTTGCATCTATATTGAAATGGAGATAAGGGATGTTTTGAATAGATGAACACGTGTTCAACCAATTTACAATTCCTCATAAATAGTTCCCACTTCATTTTTTGATCATTTTCGCTTAAACCGGGAAAGCGTTCACTAATCTGTGAGTAGCTAACAGTCCCTTTTTTGACATATAAAGCAAATTATACATATATGTATATATACATATATCAACTCGGAAGGCTCTTATAATCTCTTTTCCTCCTTGTTTTACAGAATTTTGTTTTATTTGTCTGCAAAAAGAATACATCTGTAAAAAGAAAACGAAATGGAAAAGTGGGAAGGAAAAGTTGCCCTCGTAACCGGAGCATCCAAGGGAATTGGAGCTGCCATCTGTATAGAATTAGTAAAATCTGGAATGATCGTTTACGGAATTGCTAGATCTGTTGAATTAATTCAAGTAAGTATTAATATGTTTTCTATTGAGTAAATAGGTTTTTGTTGAATAGGCAAAAACACAAAAATCAACATGTATTTAATGTATATAACGGTGACATAGATACGGAATTAGACGTTTTGTTATTTCAGGCTCTCTCTGATCAACTTAAAGGCCAAAAAGGACAGTTGATTGCTAAAAAATGCGATTTAAGAGTAAAATCACAAATTTTGGATGTTTTCACTGAAATTGAAAAGAAGCACGGATTAGTTCATGTCGTCGTAAATAACGCAAGCGTTTCTGGATCTGCCAGTATTATGGATGGCGAAACCAAGGATTGGAGAAACATGCTCGCGGTAAAAAGCACTTAGCATAAAACATTTTGTTAATGCATTAAATAACTATCCTACTTTTTAACTCCAATCAGGTAAATGTTGTTGCTCCTGCAATCACTTGCCAAAAAGCTATAAACCTTATGATGGAAAAGGATTACGATACTGGACACATTATCAACATTGGAGCGTAAGTAAAAGTTACCTAAACCCTAGCGATTTAAGCTATTTAATACAAATCCCCAACTGAATTTCCTTTTCCTATCTCTAGTACATCAAGCCATAACATTTCTATTTACCCTTCACATCACTTTTGGTCCGCCACAAAATATGGTCTGAGATCAATGACTGAAGGCTTCAGTATGGAGTTGAAATCTCTTAAGAGTCATATCAAAATGACCGTAAGTGTTGCCAATTTATAAGATCATTCTATCTCTCTCTTTCTCTCTCTTATACATATTATACGTATTTCTTTTCAACTAATAGCACATCAGTCCAGGCAACACCAAAACTGACTTTTTAAAAGGAAAGATGATGCCATTCGACCCGGATTTTGAAGAATTTAAGGTTTTATTTCATTTAAAATAAATACTTTGGCAATTTTATCGTCATATTTTCTCTTTTTCTCTTTAAATAGAAATTCGCTGTAAGAGTTGGTGTTAAGGAAGAGAATCTTCCCAAGAAGAACCCAGTTGACTTGACCGGAGAAGGAATCTACAATTCCGAGGAACCAAGAGTAAGCTTTTAAAAACTCTCCAAGTATTCATGAATTCACCTTCTAACTTAACCTATTTAATAGGCTCTTAAGCCCGGTGATGTCGCTGACTACGTCATTTACGCTTTATCTTCTCCTCTTCACGCTGAGGTAAGCATTCCCTTATCAATACTATAGCACACTTTACACTTAATTACTATTATTTTCCAGGTTTCCGAACTGACCATTAGGCCAATCCAAACATATTAATTCAAATCGGTGAAAGTAATAATTCCTTACTGTTGTTTAAAAGAAACATAAAAAACAACATTATCCGATAATGATGGCGATGTTAAAATTAGTAATACAGTTGGTAATGAGACAAACGTTTCCTTATATATATACATATATATATATATATATATACAGTATATATATATATAGAAAAAACTATAAGCTTAAAATAGGCCTTTAGATGTAATACGTTGACATGAAAATAAAAAAAAACAAAATATTTAAATTGCTTTAATCTTTTTTTTTTTAAAAAACAAACACGCAACCATAGGTTATAATCATCTTGGATTATCTATACAGTGAAGGGATTTGAGAAAATCTCCATTTCTTCTCTTTCTATCTGCATTTATTCTATCGGTATAATCAATTCCTAGCAGCGTTTAGACAGTTTCCATTGACTCTATAACCTTTAGTCGGCAGGAGTGGGGGCCATAGGGGTTATCTATGTTATCTATGTGTCAAAAGATTATGATCGGGAAAAAGGTAGATAAAACAACGAAATAAAAAAATATGAGGGTACTAGGATGAATTTGCACAAGTTACGTAATGAAAAACAATAGAGGATAATGAGAAGGGGAAGAAGAGAAAGATAAATGCTCTCAATACAATTTTCCTATTTGTGGAATGTTGTTAATATGCTTTTATTAAAATCTGTAAAATTTGGTGTCAAGTTTTTCTGAAAAAATAACAGTTTCATATGCTTTGCTAAGTTCAAAGATGATGATAACATTACTACCAGTTTTCAATAATTCAGATGGAATGTATAGCTTTCTTTGGGGTTCTTTATTCCAATATCTGCCAATCAAATAACCATTTACTATAACTAGTCCTTTACCCCATTTAGTCAGATCAATAAACGTGTAATGAGGCGTTCCTGATATTTCCAGAAATACTCTAAAGAACGTAGGACTTTTCAGCTCAAAGCTTGTTTTGTTTGTAGTTTCCCACTGTAAAGTTGTATTTAAACTTTTACAGAACTTGTCGGAAAATTCAATTGGTACATGCTTGAAGTTTAACAATTGAACAAAATTGATTAAGATTCTTCCTCGCAATCCTTTTCTTTGATCGTTTAATCTTGTATCGCCGTAGACTCTTCCAGCATTTTCTAAGAATATATCTAAATTATTCTCCTTAATTAACTTGACCTTTGAAAAGTCTATGTGTTCTTCTTTGTAAGTAACATTTGATTGGATTTTTGTAAAAGTTTGGTTGTTGATCAAAATGAGGCCATAGTCGTGAACCGCCCCTATGAACCACATTTCTTGACCTCTTATAAATTCTGTTCTATAAATAACATAACCAAAACTCTGACCTCCGCCGTTATGCATATCTAAAGTCTCCATAGGCCTTACATCTCGATATTGCATTGACTGAGAGTCGGTTATATCTAATAACTGATCGTATCCAGCGAAATCATTTATTTTCACATCGCCATACTTTCTAGGAGGATTTGGAAGGGGCGGAGGAGGTAAATTAGGCGCAGTTAGCTTCATCTCCTTTAGTAAGGAACGAATTATGAAATATTTTTCATCGTATACGCCACCTTCCAGTATTGGAGCGTCTGGAAAGTAGCTTGTCAATTCGTGCTTTAGAACTCTCTTTCCTTCACTTGTCGAATTCAACGTTCCGCCCATAAACCCGAAATTCGTCCCCCCGATAAACGGATGAAGAACTATGGATACCTCTAGGAGAAGGGCCCTCTCTAAACGCTTTCGAAATTTGTCTGGCTTTGCTTCGTCTTGCTTATAACACCACCATTGTTTAGGAGCCGTTGGGAAGTTCATAATAAGGATAGGGTACTCTGAATCTTTAAGGATACCCCTAGCGGCTAGGATTGCTTGGGTAACATCCTCGTCGGGATTCTTCAACAGAACAGATTTATGAACATTTGGAATCATATCTCTTTCAAAAACATCGACAGAATCGGATAGAAAGAGCATTTCGTTTATGTGATAATTATGGAACTGTACGGCAAGAAAGTTAATATACATTTTATCCTCTTGATAATATTGACCAAACCCATCTTCTATTTGAAAGCCAATTATTGGACCAGCGTGAGTCGTATAACAAAAAGGTACTAATGTCTCAATAAGATGCTCAAAGTAATTCCTTACTGGATTAATGAAGTATTCATTCGAAGACCTAACTTGTAATTTAATGTTTTCGTGTAAGAGCCAGGAAGGAAGACCACCCCAATCTAATCCAGCGTTGATAAAGGGTCCAACTTGCAGTATGGTGTATAGACCCAATTCTTTTGTCATGTTTAGCACTTTAAGAAGATCCCATTTAATGTTAGTGAATTTGATAGTACCCCTTGTAGCCTCGTGAATATTCCAAGGTACAGGAATAACAACCGTATTTAAACCGGCAGATTTTACTTTAATTAAGCGATCATGCCAAGCGGCAGGATGAACCCTGAAATAGTGAAAAGTTCCTCCAAGAATTTGGAATGGTCTATCGTTTAAGTAAAATTTATTTCTGAATCGTTTTAATCCTTCTCTAATTTTTTTAAATTGTTTTCGTACGTTTCGTTTGCTTACAGTCGATAAAGAAATTGGATTATCCGTAACATCTTGTTCTGCAAGGACACTATCGAATCCAGCTTTGTATTTTCTGCCCCCTTGTGGAGCTTTATTATTTCTTATCCACGCTGGCACAACTGGTTTTTGAATTACCTTCTCATTCTCTTTTTTATCAATATACATTTCAATTAATAGAATAATCACAGCAAACACCAATAAATTTCTTATTGTATTTCTTAATTTTTTCAACCTTATCATACTCTTTACTAAATTCTTTTAACTTTTTCAAATTTGAGTTTTTGTTTGAACAATTAGCCTTGAAATACAACGATATACTTTCTTTTGCATAGACCTCTCTCTCTCTCTCTCTCTCTTTCCCTCTTTCTCCTTCTCTGTTTTGCTTTTTTCTCCTCGTTCTCACCCACTCACTCTTTCTCTCTCTTTCCCTGATTTTCTCTTCGGTTCTCTCTATCGTTCTTTTATTAATTGCAAAGCAAAACCAACTTTTATTCCATTTTGATAAATAAAAATCCTTGGCCTGAAATATTGCTCTCTTTGTTAACAATTTTTTTTCTCGACAATATCAACCCTTGGCGCCATCTTACGCATTTAACATACCTCTATTATCTCGTTGAAAGGGTATATGAACAATAAAAACTATTATTTTCCTTACTAGAATTAGTTTACCCGCCCTCTATCGGCTATCGACAATATTGTTCGATACGACTAATCAAAGCGTGACCAGATCAATACATAGGCTATTTCTGTATAAATAAAATCAATACTAATACAAAATTTTGTTCCATACATGTACCATTGGTTTAAGAAGAGTCATTTCATAATAGCATTTATCAACTTGTATATCTTCAATAATGAATATCTACTCTTTAATAACACTGTCGTTGGCGATTAGTACTTGTCTGCCAGTCAAAGGGTATATTATATATTTTTACGTGTCAAATTGCTTATAAAAGTAGAGCTAATCAGTTAACCTCTAATTTTAAAACGTAATCATTATTTGTATATTCTCTCCAATTTTACTTCTTCCTCTTTAACAATTGAACAAAATCAATTTTAAATTGTAGAGAGAACCAACTGGAAAATACTTCACAGTCAACCGTTACTGATTCAAAAATAAGTGTGAAACTGAAAGTACATAGTAGCCCGTCACCGGACGTTTCTGACAAAACAACAAAGGAAAAATTAATCTCAACAAGATCCAGCATTACTGATGGAGGAACAACAAGTTCCAACCTTACCGTTGGAGAAACAACAACATCCAACATTATTGATGGAGAAACAACAAGATCCAGCCTTACTGTTGGAGAAACAACAACATCCAACATTATTGATGGAGAAACAACAAGATCCAGCCTTACCGTTGGAGAAACAACAACATCCAACATTATTGATGGAGAAACAACAAGATCCAGCCTTACTGTTGGAGAAACAACAACATCCAACATTATTGATGGAGAAACAACAACATCCAGCCTTACTGTTGGAGAAATAACAACATCCAACATTATTGATGGAGGAACAACAAGATCCAACCTTACTGTTGGAGAAACAACAACATCCAACATTATTGATGGAGGAACAACAAGAACCAGCCTTACTGGTGGAGGAATATCAACAGCAGAAGTCACAACCTCTTCTGCACCAGAAACACCTGAACTTGTACTAACAACTCCCTCAGATGATGGGAGAAAAAAGAAAACTGATAGAGGAGGTGGATTATCAGGAGGTGAAAAGTTTGGAATTAGCATTATGGTGTTGGGTGTTATTGGTGCTGTGGGTGGTGGTTTAATATGTTTCGTGAGAAAGAGGAGAGCGTAAGTATTTTCCATTTCGCAATTACTATTAAATATATATAAATGACTTATCGGAGGAATCTTTTCAAAGGCTCGCAAGAAGGATGAACTACAACCGCCTTGAAGATGAATTATCCTCGTTCACAAGCCTAAATGCAGCAATAGCCTAAAATTATCGTATATAAGGATAAATGGTATCTGAAGTAAAGATTATACTTTTATTGATTATCGCTATTTTTGATTAAATTTCTGTTCAATTGTTTCAAGTGTTGAGGTTGTAAACTGTAGGAAATTGTCATCTTAAAAAGAAAAAAAATCGACTTGACTGTCGTCTTTATTTCAGTATAAAAGAAAAAAAAACCCTTTTCTCTTAAAAGAGAAATGTATAAATTTGCTGTCTACGAAACAGAGAGCATTAAAATCTCCTAAAATATAATACAATTTTTTTTCCACTTCTTCTCTAATCCAGATTTAAAGATTTTTTTAAATTTGATTAATTAATTAATTAATTAGTTAATTTATTTATCAATTGAAAATAACTATTACATGTATATTTTAGCTAATAAAAAAAAGGAACACTGCTATAAAATGTACTAAGAATACAAAAAGTAGTAGAGGGCGTTGAACTCTGTTTTTTCTTTTTTTTTAAGATTTTTATCTTCATACTTTCAATAGCTTACAGTCATTCTAGACAGTTTTCCCCCCGTTGTTTCTTTTATATATATCCCTTATTGTCGTAGAAGCGTTTTTTGTCTTCGGAGCCTAGTTGGGGAGGCTGATGATTGATATAGCTTTGTCCAAGATAATTTTTATATGCAGCTGATTTCTTAGCACTGGAACTGCAAGAATATTCAATATTAAAATGAATGAAAAGTGAATGGATAATTAGATAATTCTATATTCGAATATACTTACTCTCTTTTATTCTTGCACATTAACACAATACCTAAGATAAGCAAAAGTCCAACAACCCCCGAAACCACACCTACAGTGTGCAAGATAGAAAAGATGAACATCAAAGTTTCGTTATTTAGTTATTAGCCTCCTTTACTTGCCTACAATAATTTTATCCGTTCGGGAAAGTTTCGAAGACTCGGTAGCGGGAGTAGTAATGTTTTGTCCTTTAACCGACAGGCATATTTCCAGGAGAAGGAAAACTATCGAAAAAATGACGCCTTTACAAGAGAATGTTAATTTATCCATGCTACTATTCGTTCTGTAACAATGATTAGGTATTTTTTATTATTGTTATCCGTTAGCACGTTTTCAGGTAAAATGACACGTTATCTTTGTTAAAACTTCTCTAAAAAGCAACTATCTATGGTTTATCAGACGATTACCGATTAGATAACTGTTCTTATTTATCGATCTAGAATGGTACATGTAACTATCGCCATCTATTACATATAAGTAATGTTACTTTTTGTCAGCCTTACTTCAACTCGAAGGCCATACACGTGCACGATTTATAGCTAATGTCCTATTTAGTTATCTGTCTACTTTACTCATTGTTTCTTGTATTACTTTTCTCATTTACTCGTTCAATCGTCGTATTCAAATAGTTAGGAATTAACAAATGCATTCATTCATTCATTAATTCTATCCAGATTGAAACGGAATATTGTGCAAGTGTTTTTTGCTGTCTAAAAGTCCAAATTCCACGAAAAATTGTTAAAATTTTTTAGAAAAACTAGGTAGAATTTTCTCTCGAGCGAAGTGAAATTACCATTTTTTCTATAGTTGTTTTATTATTATTATTGTTATTAAACTTATATAAATGTAAATACTATATATATATATATATATAGATAGATAATATATATATATATATAAACTGTATATACTGTATATACTGTATAGATACAGTAATTATCATTGTTATTATTATTATTGTTCTTTATAGAAGAAACAAATGGATTAATTGCTTAATTTCATTTATTTAATTATTTTAACCGTGTTAAATACGCTATCTATTCCATATATAGAATAACTATTTTAATATCATAAAAACTAAAGGATGATTTAATTACTTTCTATTTCTCTTTGTCTTTTAAGAATGAAGAAATAGTTCTTTTCTCATTTTCTTTCTTTCTCTCTCTCTCTCTCTATCTCTATATACTTATTCCCTCCTATCCATACCCCTGAACCTCTTTTTTGCTCTCTCGCCGATTATTAGAATTATTAATGATAGGCCTAAATACAACAATTAAATGATTTTTCTTCGTATAAATGTTTTTTTTTCACTCCGTCAGCTAAAATAAAATTTAAATAGAATTTCGCTTACGTCACTAATTAAAGTCAACAAAATGGGGAGAAAAACTAGGAAAAATGGTTTTTTGATGAATAGAAAGGCTCAAAGTCGTACCCAAGTTATCCTTGAATGACGTCAACAGCATCGGTTTTCGATGAATTATTGCCCTTAGTGATATCCTTTGCCTATTAAATTACTTAGTTACGCATAACTATGAATTTATATGTTAATACTTATTGTCTGATAGAGAAAGGAGAGAAGGAGGGTAACCGAAAGAGAAAGAGAATGAGAGAAAGAACAGTTCTTGTATGATTCTGCAATCAAATATAATAGAGAGATGAATGCTCACTCATATAGATAAATAAGATATCTCTGTACAGACAATATTTAATAATATAGATGCACTGTATATAGTATATTTAATAGCAAGCGAAATAGGGCGTAGTTGTCTTGCTTGTATTGTATTGAATTGGATAAATGATTGAATTGCGGATAGCAATTCTTAGAAAAGAGCATTTTAAGTATAAAAGTCGTCTAGAATGGCCGTAAAAACAATTTTATCCGCTTTTGAGGACATTTTATGGAAAGAGAAGAAGAAAAAAATCAGTTTTTAGCAAGAAAACCAAGAAGAAGTGAATATTTCCCTTTTTTTTGTAATAGTTTTAAATAGAGAAAAGGAGGATATTTTTAGAATTCTACTGTACCGTTATTAGTTCTCTTTTCTTACTCGTCTTTCTTATGTTTTTAGTCAAAAACAGGAAAACACAAACAACTGTTAATTCGGGAATGTTTAAGTAAATAAAAAGTAGTTCAAAAATAGTCAAGAATCTAATTAGACCAAAAAAAGATACAAGAGAAAGAGAATGAGATTAGTGGCATTTATTAGAAATAATATATTCATTTCCATTATTGTTTCATTTGTAAAATGGAACGAATGCAAAAAACGAACAATAATCTTCTCCTCTCCCCGCCTGTCCCTCCCTCCTTCTTTCTCACCAGCCTGCTCTCGCTCTCTATCTATCTTATTGTACAGAAAAAAGGGGAATAGAGAGAGTAGAAGGAAAATGAAACCAAATGAATAAAGCGAAATTTTTTATATTATTGATTAACATCATAATGACTTAGTGAGTAATTGGTAAAATTTACATAAAAGTATCAAACTGATAAATTGTAGTGTGAGAAAATTCCCGTTAAATAAATAAACCAACAAAATCAGTAAGAAATCTTAGCAGTAGCCTTGAAATTTTTTCAACCTAAACCATCTTATTTTTTGATTGCGTAATATAAACTAAAAGTTTATTTACGTCGATCTAATATGGAGAAAAAATGCATAGAAATTAATGCCTTATAGCCAATTTTCTTTAAACCTAGTCTTTTTTCATTCTTTCCATATTATAATAGTTGACAACTTTCCAACTTTTTTTTTTTGTTAATTATTCTTGTCATTTTCTTTCTATCTCTATCTCTCTCTCTCTCTCTCTATCATTATTTTCTTCTCTGCCCTTATTTTTATGTTCGAAAACGAAAGAGGAGAGAGAGATGGACTGTGCTCGAATAGGATAACATGACAAAAGTACTAAAGAAAAGAAATTAGCTAAACGACGAATCTAAAGTGCATAATTATGCTGATAATATGTATATATATATTTATATGTGTGTGCTTATTGATATACATTTAATAATTATGAATAATTAATACTAATTAATCAGGGTTAGCCTGCTATTATTCTTCTCGTATTAAAGACCATATATACTGTATATATCTGCAGTTGGATAATTTATAGATATTTATCATTCTAATTTCTTTTTTAACGTACCAATAGATTTGTAACAATATGATAAAAAGAGTTGATATGGCATTGCAATAAATAGATGTCGACTATGTAGCGGAATTGAATAATTAGGTAGCGTTTCTTTTCCCTTCAGGGTTTGGAAGGGGAGAAAGGGAAACTTGTATTTCAATTTAGATTTATATATATATTTATATATACATTTATATATTCCTTGCTCTCTCCCTATCTCCCTAAAAGATGCGACATTTAACAACACCTATTAGTCAAGGTTAACTTTTTACTCCTGAACGATTACATATTCTCTCTCTCTCTCTTTCTCTTTAGGTTTCGCATTAAATTAAATTTTTATGCAAATGGTGCTCCAAATGTTAATCAAGTAAACTAAAAAAAATTAACGGTACAGGCGTCTGGCGTCTAGAAAAACTGTTGGTTTTTTCCAAATATCAAAAAGAATTGAACCAGAACACTTAACATTAATTAGAAGCAAACTGGAAAGGTTGTCTTTATTTAAATTCAATTAGTTTATTAATACTTTCTGTCGGCAAATAATCATCAAATGTTTGCTTAACGAGGCAAACTCTTGAGTGATATAGAATGTTTTATTTGTTGAAAAGAGAAAAGAGACGTATCGTGTTCAATCTATAGGCGTATGTCTGGCATAGATTCTAGACAATACTCCTACTTAAATAAAAGCAAACGCCAACTTGGCAGGTAATAGTTAATTTTACAAAATTAAGCATCCTTTGAAAGACAACTCAATTCTCAGTATTAATCAAACCAGTTGAAAAATTCCTTAGTCAGCTTTGCTCTCTTCTGTTTGTCGCCCGTGTTTAAATAATCCTTTAAGCCAAAGCTGATTGATAAAACAAGTTTTTTCTTCCGTTAATAGCACAATATCCTACTAATTTCCTTCCCTATTAAACCCTTCCTTCGGCAGTCTTCTTGTCTCTGTTTAGTTCTTAAGCTTTTACATTCCCTTCCTTCCTTCCTTATCTGCCTACCTCCTGTCTCCTTCGTCCATTCACTATCATTCCCCACTTCCTCAGTAAGGCTAATTTCGGCAACGTTTACTCTATCCCTTCAACCTCGTCAACCTCCTTTACCTTGGAATGAATTTTGATTTCATCGACTCTTTTAAATCTTATTTTTTATTGTAAAATATTTCCATTGACATTAAAAATGCCCTTACTGTCCATTAGCATCCGTAAGTCCTTGACCCGGTCGACTATGATCGTCGATTAAACGAGTGAGAATGTCTGGCTTTTTAACAATTTATAGCCAATAGTTTGGAATTAAAGATTATACCAGATTTCCAAAGAAATTGTGCGTAGTTAGATGGTAACATAAATTTACTTTTGATCTTTTTAACCCAGTTTTATTAGTCTAACGAGACGTTGAATATGAGCAATTGCTTTATAGTTTACCGCCAATTTTACATTTCTTTCCAATTTGCTCTTTTTTTATTTTTTTTCTGTAGTCTTCCTATTTCATGTTCTATTGTAGGTTATGACATATAAATTTATATATAAATGCAGTATGTCTATTGTATAAATACCGATAAAGCAAGCTGTTCTCTCATTTCTACTATTTTTCAACTGCATAAAACATTACCTTACGGCATCTTCAACGCATATTTTATCTTAATTCTTATGTCGCTTTCTTCTATGAACTTGCAACAAAAAAAATAGATAATTCATGGACAAAAATTTGAAAAGAGAAGAGTGCAACACTTGTAACTTTTCCGTCTTATTAGTTTACATGGTTGTAGGTCGTCGAGTGCATTACGCATACATATTATAATTGCCAACCACCATCTTATCAGATCTCTCTATCAGGATCAATAGAAAATCTACCACTTAATTAGGTTTTGCATCTTAATTAAGATAAATGCATAAATTAAAATATTCCTCTACTTTTTAAGGAAAAAAGAAGTGTTTTACTCTATCATTAAAGTTGTTCCAAGGAGAAAAGGGCGTTACAACAATATCCAAGAATAATATGTTGAAGTCTTTTAAAAATAGATCTTTCATATAAAAAAAGCTATCAAGGATTACGACAAACATAAATAAAGAGAGCGACAGAGAGAGAGAGAGAGAGAGAGAGAGAAGAAGGAGTAGGAGAGATGGAGGAGGAGGAGAACCTTTCTCTTTTCTTTTAACTATCTATGGTATATACTTGACACTGTACATCTTTTTTTCTCATTTAGTTGCTAACTTGCACATATATTTGTCTCTCTCTCTCTTTCTCACTGTTTACGAATAGTTATCTTTATCAATACTCATAGAATTCTCATCTTTAAATCTTTTCATGGCCAAAAAAATTTTGTTTTTTTATTATATATAAAAACCGGAAGTAATCAAAAACTCTACTCTCTCAAAGCTTCCTAATTTTATAAAAGTTGCGCACTGCCTACTGATTAAATTTGGACAAATATAATACTGTTGATTGTAGTAAGACCCGTGAAAAAGTATTTTCATATATTTATACTAAGCGTCTATATAGTCCGCTCTATGAACAAAAAAGTAAAACTGTGACAGATTCACTATAATTAACCTTGACCCAATGAATGTAATTTATCTACGTAAACATTAGGCAAACAATAAAGAGAAAAGAGTTTATGAGAATAAAGGAGAACGATTCTATTATAAGGTCTTTTTTGTAACAATCTATATATATATGTGTGTGTATATACTATAAAAAGAATATAATAAGCATGCATGATATACAGTATATATATATATATATATATACTGAAGTATAAATACGCTTCATAAGATACCTAATTACTTTGGCATTGAATAGTTTTGCCACTACATAGGGTACATTAGTCCGTTTAAAAATGCTATTATTAACCGCCTGAGTAAACTAAGAGCAAAAAACTTTGAAGGTGAAATAATGTAATAAGAATTATAGTATTTATATAAATATTACTTTGGTAGAAATCAAAATATAAAACAACTTATCTTATTAAGAATTGGACATAACTATTTTTTTATACAAGACAAATGTCACATATTCATATTAATTAATGTTTCGGATAATTCATTTTTGGCGATAAATCTAGATAAACTCATCTTTTCTCTCTCTTTCTCTCTCTCTCTCTATTTCTAGCTTTCTCGCTCTCTTTCGATACTAAACCAATTAAATTCCTTTTATTGTAATTATTATCGTTTGTTCTATCTAACTATTTATCTATTTATCTCTTACGACTTTCTCTGCCTCTGCTGGTCTGTCTGTCTCTCTGTCTGTCTGCTTGTATGTCTCATTCTGTCTCAAAACCTTTCTTCCCTCTCTTCCCTCCCTAACCCCTACTCACACATCTTTTGTCTTTGTAGTCTTCCTGTTTCGCTTACTAATAGCGATGAGAAATTGTTTATTAAGCCTATTCTCTTATCTGCTCGTGTGTACTCATTTTCCATTCATAACAAGTGGGAAGAATAAAGAAGGAAGTGGCCGGCATCTTTCCATTTGATTCTTGTTTATGTTTACGGAATAGGTGGCGCTATTTTTTTTACTTCCCCCCAACCCTAAAAAAGGAAAAAACAAACGAAAATACGTAAGGTGATAAGTATTGACTAAACTTTAACCCTCGGTACACACCCCCTCCTAGCTTTAAGAATGCGGAAGGAAAATGACCACTCATATCAATCGGCGTGCACTAGTAGAAGGTTAGCCGAGTGGTTAAACTACTAGATAGAAAATGATGAAATTCGCCAGAGTACCATTCAATTCCTCTTCAGGTCACAGAGTACTTTGACGATTGGGATTATTTCAACAAAAACAAAAGCCTACTGAGTTGTTTGATAAAAGTAAGAGATTAACAGTTTACTTAAGACCTCAACAAGACGATAGAAATTCTTTCTATGTGACTCATGTAATCAAAACAGGTGTTTGTAGCTGTAAGCTAATTGATAAATTCGCTTTGACTCTGACTGCATTACAAACTGTACACAATCTCATTTTCCAACATGTTTTTTGTACAAGGAAAAAGATTGTTTCGGACAAAAACCGGAAATAAAGTTATTACATAATGGGCTATAGCAAATATTATCTCATTATATTTCTCTTATTGCGTTTTCAGAATTATCAACTAGTAAATGGTAAACCTTCTAAAAACTAATAAGAACGTATTTAATTATCATTGTTCTTTCAGTTTATCATTAAGTTGTGTCTTCTACTAATCTCCATCTCTTCTCCAACGAGCGTATCTAGGAATGTGTTGTATACCATACAAACATACATGCATACATATACATATGTAAACAAGTATACGCGTATCTATACATATGCATAGTCATCTTTTCCGTTCGTACTTCCTTCTCTACTTCTTTATTGTTCATTCAACTTTACTCTTATCTAATTTGCATAAAAACTTTCTAAATCAAAACAAATACAAAGCAAAAAAGTCGTACAATGATAAAATTCCGTTCGATTAAAAGTTTAATAAAAAATGTACTCGATCACTTTCCCTCTTCGTTCATTCTTCCTTACATCATCTATTAGACATTCCATTCGAAATAATTAAAATATTAAAATGAAACCTTGTCATTTATTAAAGATATACATAGATAAGAAAAGAATAAAGAATAAGGAGATGAAGAAGAAGAAGTAGAAGGAAGGATTTGAATATTTTATGCATAAATTTCTAAAATTCTTATTCCTATATTATTCGAAATATTTTGAGAGATTGCCAACTAATAAAAACAAAGAAAGATAATTAAGTAAATTTTTGCTTATCAGCTAGAAATAATGCTTTCATCCATCGTCATCCTTTCTAATAATATTAATAATTAAGAATGCGTTTAAACGTTTCCAACCTTGTTATTCTCCCTTTTATGTAATACGTTTATATAATATTCACATATTTGTACGCTTACTTAAATGTACACGTATACATATACAGTATATATATATATATATATATATACACACACACACACTTTCTTCCTCTTTGGACTTTTACCCGTGTGGTCCTCTATAGTAGGAATTGCTCATCACGTGACAGATCGCACTTTGATTCAGTTATTAGTTTCAAGTTTGGTACGTAATTTTATACTATCACCAATAATAAATCGTCTTCGCTGTCTTAATAAAATACTTTTATAATGTTTTATTAATTAAATTTTTGTTTTAAAAAAATAATATGAGAAAGAGCGAAAGAGTGAGAGAGAGAGAGAGAGGGACAAGAAAACTTGCCTATTTAAAGTTTTCTTCTATTAATAAAAGAATGAAACATAAATCAGTGACAATTGAGCGCTAAGCACCTGGTAATTAATCAATCAATTTAATTTTTGTCTGGCTTATATACTCTATCATTCTGTATACTATAAGAAAACGAAATGTATATACATGTGCATACATATATAAATCTATATAATTGTGTATATTTATACGTTATGTAACTTTTTACATAACCTTCCTAATCTTCTTCTTTTTCAATTTTTTTTATTCCTTCGATCTATATTTCCCTCTTTTTTTATAGCATTCATATAAAAAAAGAAGGAATCTTATATTACAAATCTTTAATAGTTCTTCTCTCTTTATAAAACAGAAACAGTGTATAAAATTAAACATATTTTTATTCGGATCTTATTAAAATCCTATTAGATTAGAATGAATTTTCATAACAATAGAATTAATGCTTTACATTCTATAAACACATACATAAGTACGTACATACATACATACTTTCGTACGTACACATACACACTCACACATATATACACACACACACACACACACACACGCGCGCGCAACCTATATGGATCTTTTTGGCAAATTATCAAAAAATTTTCTTATGAATAATCATTTCTACTACTTTTACATTTAAATACGCTCTAGTAACACTTTACACGACAAATACTACTTCATTTGCGCATCCAATGAATATTGAAGAGTCGTGAGTCATCATCATGCATTTGCATTGTAAATATTCATCAGAAGCGAATAAAAGAGCACCCAAACAGCATCTTAGTAGCAGACTTTGTTTTGGCAGCATGAAGAAGTACTACTCTTTTTTGTTGATTAGCCTACTGTTTAATTGCAGAGTGGGCAGCACAGTTCCAGAAGATAAGATTGTTTTTATGGAAACCAAAACTACCGTAACTGGTCAAATTGGTGAAAATCTGGTTCTTAAATGTAAAGTTACGAGTTCACCACCAGCCACTATTCACTGGCTCTTTAAAGGTCAACGGATCGTACAGGTAGTTGCTTTATATGTTTTACTTTTATCCTCCATTCAATTTGTTCGCTTCTTGAGAAATAAAATTGCCCCTAAGACGCTTAATTAACGGCATTCGCTAAAACGTTGTTAACATATAAAGTTAAGAAGATAGAGACGGATAAAGATATAGATAGATGAGAAGATAAATAGATAAATAGAGAGATAGACAGACAGAATGTAGATAGTTTTGATATAAGGAAGAAAGTAGGAAACTGAAAAGGGGGAGGAGAGAGTAAGAGAGAGAGAGAGAGAGAGAGAGAAAGAAAAAGAGAAACGGAGGAATGTAATTACATATAAAACTTAAAGCTATCGTACTCGTATTGAACTGAATGAACAGAGATGTAGGTTAAATAGAGAAAACAAACTATAAAACAAGGACACTGACGAAAGATTGCTTTTAAAATATTATTGAAAAAATTAGACGCCTGCGAACTGTAGAGTTTTCAATAAGTTTTCCATAATATTTTTACGCTGTTTTTGCCTATTCTAGGAATATTTTCCTATCTAAAACTCTAATTGTTTTCATTGTGAAAATGGCATAAAACTTTTCTAGATTGTTAATGTAACTTTATATTCTTTATTGTCAACTTCCGAGATTTGCGTAACGTTTGCAAAATTTTCTACTTGGAAATGAAAACAAAGCGTAGAAAAATTGTATTATATATTCAATATATGCAAGTTTATTAATGAAGGCTGTTAAGGCAAAGAGAAGGGGGGAAAGACTGATACTAACAGAGATAGAATAGAGGGAAAAGGGAGGTAGTTAAGCCATTATTATTACGTATACCAGAAACTAGCAGTTTATCTATATATGTATGTATGTATGTATACATTCGCTAACGACTAGGCGAGTATAGCGTAGGTGTACTATTTCCATTGCCGTAAAAATCCAACATTTTAAACGCTTTGTATTAGACATTCTGAAATGAAAACTCGTAACAATAGACAACGTTTAGCTTAATACTCTAGAGAATATTCTAAATAGATCGTTTACTAAGCCATTAAGGTAAAAACAAACAGTTTTTTCAGTTGACAAACTTAACGTCAATTAAGAATCGCGAAATGTTGGACAGTAATGACTCTAAAAAGGCGAAAACTTGTTTTATGTTCCTGTTCATTTAGTAGCAATCAAAGAAATTTATTGATTTTTTCTCATTCTCTTTCTTCTCGGTTTCTCTTAACAAAATCCCAAGAATTAAGGGAATCGTTAAAAACTGCAAAATCTGCATAATATCCAAAAGAAAACCTCTGAGCAATTTAAAATGTACGAATCGGGGAAATTATTTATGCGTCTCTTTCTATATTCCTCTTCTATTAAGCGAAAACAATGACCAAAAGGAACTAATTATAACCTACGAAACCCCAAAAATCAACCAAATAATGCAATTAGTTCGGTCCAAATCATGGACATAGAAGAATATAAAATATTCCCTGTGCTTGTAGAATAGAGGGAATGATTATATATAGGTTTAGGTGTATATATACAACTGCCTCGTGTCCAAGAGTCTTTGACAGACATTATTCGTCTCATTTCCATCTATTAGGTGTTTGTTACGTACCATTTTCTATTAATTATAATTGCAAAACAGAGGAAATAGTTGAGAAAATTTCTAAACATTTTTACTACAACCTTTATTGACCTCTTCTCTATCTTTTTCTTTTTTTACCAGGATTCGACCTTAACCGTTCTTGATGATGATGCAATCTATGAAGAGAAGAAATTGTCATTAGCCGTCACCGAATCAAAGTTATTCATAGATTGTGCTGATGAAACAGACGCTGGCTCCTACACTTGCGTAGCTCAATCTCCAGTCAAAAGAAAGCGTCTAGATTTCGACGTCACTCTTAACGGAGGTAAAAAAATTAATAACCTTTATTTATGTTTGCCTGTTTTATTCTATGAAGAATAGACGATAAACTTAATTAACCATATTTCTCAATTACAGAGGTTGCAGACAACTATTGTACTAGGTTGAATAAGGGGAAAAGGATCTCTGAAATGAGACGTAAGTACTTGTCGACTTTCTTTTTTATTTCAATTTTATTCGTTCATCTATATATTTATTTACTCATTCATTCATTCATTCATTCATTCATTCGTTTCTTTCGTTCGTTTGTTCTGTCATTTTGTTCGTTCAATCAATCATTCAGCCTTTTATTTATTCTCCCCTTCTTCCATCCTTCCTTCTCTATCTATCTGTCTTTCCCTCGTTGCTTAGTCTCTCTTCTTCTTCCTTTCTTTTTCACTAAATTCTTTTTTTTTTATAAATTTCCTTCAAACTTATTTAGCATATACAAATAATAACGTAGATAACAATACCAATATCCTCTTTAGAAGTGATAAACTTCATTCATACTTTTATGACGTCACCAATCTCTTTGATCTTGAAAAATTTCCATAGTCAAATAAATCATGTTTTCCTTAGCAATTTCTTGTTTTCTTTCAACTAAATTCTTTTTAATAAAAGTCTTTCCTTTAAAATGGGCGTTTTTCCCATAAAATATTCTGTATATAAAGCGCATTTAGAAACCATCAGCGCCATCTATATTATATTCGTTGTCGAATGAAAAAAAGTAGAAGAATTAATAAGGAAATAAATGGAGAATTCAGCAATTGATTATGGTGATTTTAATAACGATAATTGAATTTTTGCAGATCAAATCCCAGCAAGAGTAACGATGTGGAGTCCCAATAAAATGGAGGAGGAGCATACTGATGCCCATCTCTTCTGTAGGGTTTCCGGTTTCCCTAAGCCAACCGTCACATGGTACAACAGGATTAATAAGAAAATAACTGAAAATATGTCAAAGTATAAGGTAAGATGAAGAAGATAAATGATGCAACATACTAATATTGATGATGATTTTAACGAAATTAGCTTCTACGAAACGGGGATTTAATAATAAGGAATGCAAACTTTCTCGACGATATGGGATCATACAAATGTATTGCCAAGAATAGCTTCTCGGAAGATTCCCAATCGACTTTCCTCTATCCCGTAAGTTTTTCACTTTAAAATAGTAGTAGTAAAAGAATAAAGAATTATAGGCAATTCGAACAATTTCGTTGATATAATTAGTCTTATTATCTCTTTATTCTGTTTTTCTTTTAAAAGACTGTTGAAAAGGACAAGTAAACAAAGTAAAGCAAACATTAGAAACATTGTTTTACAAGTTCTCTTCCTTATGTGAGGAAACAAAAAATGTCTCATTCCCCAAAAAACTTATTTGTTAGAGAAAAAAGAATTAGGAATTGAAGAGCGATGGCTACACTTTGTTTGTCGTAAAACTGTTGTATCCTGAAAAAATACAATGAGGTGAAATATTGTTCGCAAACTGTTTATACCTCAATCAATGGCAAATGAAATCAAGGAGATAATATAGAGATTTAGAAATACATATATAGCATATAATGCATAAATACTAATATATACAGTATATATATATCAACATTTATATCTTCTATACGTACAACTTTTGGACACTTGAACAATTTTTTACCAATAGGTTAACACTAAGACTAATTTACATATTTGTGAATATCTTTGAATATATTAAACCTGACAAGGCTTATTGTCTATAGACAAAGTTTTCAATTGTCAACTGTCCAAAAGTTTTTCCTTGCAGAGATCAGTTCGGTCGCTGTTTGTATGTGTTTTTTGTCTATTGTTTGTATATTACAGCCAACAAATAATAAGAAACAAACTCGTTATACAATTCGAATTGACCATAGTATTGGTTAAAAAGAATTCTGGTTGTATATTCAAAGGGCTAGAGCTTTACACTGTCAGGTGAAGATTAAAGGAGTTATCCGAAAGGATCTAAACAGAATAACCTTTCCCGAAACTCTTTAACATCCTCTCCAAACGAGTATGATACTACAAATTTAACAAGACGAACAACAGATATTTCCATTGGCTGTAAGATATGAATATACTAATATATATATATAGTATCATCATTTCTTCAATCTATTTATTTCTCTTTAACTATTTATTATCTTTCTATTTGATTCTCTTTGTGAAAATTTTACAGTCTTTTCCGTAACATGCAGCTTTTTCAGTATCAATTCTTTAGAGAATAATTACCATATAATTTGAATAATTTATTCATCAATTAAATTATTTATATGTTTTCATGCTAAGAGACTGAAAGGTTTTATTTTCGACATATTTCACATATATACATATAATTATATATATATATATATATATACATTACATCGATATTCTTGTATTTGAGTCTCTTCTTTTCTTGTTGCTATTCTCTTTATTATTTCATTTTTATTTGATAGTTTTTTAGTTGATTTTCTATTTTATTGTCTTTTTCTTCTAAATGAAGCCCAAAAAAATATAAAAGAAATAATCAAAAACGGTTAGACATCTATTTATTATTAAGGATACATACATAGACTGATTCGCCAAAATGGAAAGAAATGATTTATAGATAGAAAGATAGATGCGTAGATAGAATGAGAGATTGACTGATATCAATTGATGATAAGAAATCAAGCAGTTCATTAAATTGAATAATTATTAGCATCTTCTATTTTAAGCCAGATTTCAATATCATTTCAAAGGATTCATTGTCATTAAAAACTCTACAAGTTGGTCAATGACGTTCGACGCCTACCCAAAAACTCGTGACGCAAACGTCTTCGTTTCTACTTGGCTGAGTGCTTTGAGGATCAATTGTCGAATAGGGTCATAATTAAATTTAACAGCAAGAAAAAGATAGAGTAGGAGAGGTAGAGAGCGAAAAGAAAGGAAGCTAAACTCTGGTGTACATTTCACTTATTAGAGTAATAGCTTGTGTAACGAATCTAATCGAATAAGCCTAATCGCTATTAGATTCAAATGAAGCAATTAGCCAGACAAATTCTTTTTATAGCCCATCCATATAATAGTAACAAACATTTGATACATTTTTCCTCTTTTTGATTAAATCTTTGACACAAAATGACCATCACTCTCTTTACTCTACTTTTGTTTGATCCTTCTTTTTCCCCTTTCCTCAACAATTCTTTCCAAGTTGGAGAATTGTATTGGGCATTTTTTTATTACGATTACCATCTAAAGTTATTACTACTTCCTTCCTTCCTCCTATACTTTATTTATCCCTCCCTCGCAAGCCAGCTCTCTCATACGCTTATCCTGTCTCACTCGCTAGCTCAATTTTTATTCAAATGTCCACATATTAGAGTGCTTCCCTTTAGAACGCCACCGTTCCTCTCTACTATTCTCGTTGCCCTTTTTGAGTGGTGCGATTGATCTGTTAGTTAGCGTTACAGTATTTCAATTATCTACAATTTTAATTGAAGACAATCTAACCTTATCTCGATTGCTTGAAAGACTTGAAAAGAAGAGAAAGAGAGAGAGAGAAGATAGATAAACATTCCCAGTTGTGAAAAGGAATATAAGGTTTGGATTTGTATATTTTTATTAGCAATTAAATTCTTCAATTCTATATTTTAGTTGATTTTCAAAGATGAAAGAAGAGTATAAATTTTAAAAAACCTTTATGTACACGTATTAACTACAAACTACTCTTCTTTTTCTCCATTTCAACAAACGTTATTCACTGATTGGCTACATGTGTTCTTATCCGACCTGCAAAAGCTTATCAAGTATTTATTATCAGTGAAAGAGTACCTTTAATTTAAGCAATACATTTGTAAAAAAATTCATTAAAAGATAGAAGAAATACATTTTTTTAAAGTGGGTTGCACAAATCTATCATCATCTTACTCTATTTCTCATTTTGGTCCAGTTTATAGCCTTAGCTGGAAGACAGAGAGAGAGAAAGAGAGAAAGAGGAAGAGGAAATCATATTTTTCTCGTTAAAAAATATCGTGTAACCCAATTTTAGTCTGAAAAAAATTGATTTTTCTCTCTTTCTACTCACGAAATTCATAGAAGAGAGCTAAATTAAATTTACAGGAGTAGACAATTTATTCTTGTATGTCTTATAAAAAAGAATGGGAAAAATTCACTTCTATTTGGGTAAGGAAGTACATTTTTACTTATAAACTACAAACAGCGAAACGATAGAATGAAACAAAGTCAACTCTATTGAGCAATAGATGAAAAGAAATTTATAAAAATTATCGGTCCATCGGGTTACCGCCTCTAGAGTCGGACGCGAAAATTTTTACATTCGCCTACCAGACACCAATCCACTTTTGACTCGTATTTTTTTTATGCCCTCTTTTTAAAGAATTCCCTAAATGGACGACAGAAAGCGGAAGAACAAACACGTCGCTGCTCACCACCTTCAGGCGATAAAGGAAATGGAAGAGGAAAGGAAAGAAATGAAAAAGAGAAAGAGTACTAGAAAACCAACTAACGATGGGAACAGGGAGGATAGTTACTGCTCTGACGACGAACATGCATTCAATGGGTGTGATGACGATGAGGAGGAGGAGAACTACGATGAAAACGATGACGGAGAAGGCAACGACTCTTCGTTTTCAGGACGAAAATTGTGTATGGGAATAGTGGTTGTTTTTATCTATTTGATTGTCGTATTTGGTTTGATAATTCTCATTTATAAAACAACTGAAGACTTGGTGAAATCTCTAAGGAATCCAGTGAGATCTCTAAAATACTACAGAGTTGATAAATACAAAGCACCCGGTAAGAGAATACATAGACACTCATACTATTTTCTTACTTTTCAGCCCACCTCCAGGCAAAAAATGCGTTGGAAAAAAAATGAGTTTGATGTTTTCTATATAGAATGAATGAATGAAGCATACTCCTAAGCTAAAAACGATCAGTTTGATTTCAAATACCTCCTGTTTTCTTCCATTTCACCTTCCCCTGACTTATTTTTTTACCATCTTTCTTCTACCAGACGTCAGTAAAAGATTTTTGTTATGCTCTTTTTCTTTTTCTAGATATTTATCGTTTACCAAATTCACTACAGCTGTTTGTTTGGTTCATTGACCGCTTTCCTCTTATAATTATAATTAAGCTTAAATGAATAGGAGCATTCTAGAAGTTAAACGCCTTTTACTCCCAGCGGGTCAATGCAATAAGTTTTTCGATTTGCGGCCAAATTACAACGTTTTTATAGCTTAACCCCAGCCAAATTAATTTCCCTTTCCTATATATATATATATATAGAGAGAGAGAGAGAGAGAGAGAAAGAGAGAAAGAAAGAGGAAGAGAAAGGGGCAGAGAGGTAAAAGACAAAGTGTAGGCTTTTGTATGATGTTATTTATAAGGGATATATTTAGAAATATTCTATTTATATATTGACTTAGCATAAATACATGCAAATATATATATATATATATATATATATATACTTACATATATTAGTATATACTATATGTTTGTTTGTATATGTACTATATATACTACCTTTCCAGAATATAGAGAGTGACTCAACATCTAATGGTATGAAATATACAGAAGGAATAAGAAACGAACGTGTAAAACGATCAAGATAAATATAAAGCTCATTAACATCGAGTACCAGTTTCTTTCTCTTTCTTTTTTTCTCTTTTTTTTTTTTTTCGTTACTTAACAAAATGAAGAAGGATGAATGCATCAGTTAAGAATACTTATCTTATTTGCTAATTTACATAAGCTTTTAACTCGTAGCATAATTTTCATATTATAATTATTTTTCCCTTTTCTTTCTTTTCAGCTATTGTCGTCTTTCCAGTTGGTAATAATTTCATTGCATGCAGTCATTATTTCCATAACATTATAGGCTCAAAAAGTATGATATCTTTCTCTTTTTATTTATCTCATTTCTTTTATTTTTTTTTTCTTGCATTCTTTCATTCTTTTCCCATCCTCCTTTCTTGCGCCCTTCTCTTCCTCCCTTCCTCCCCCTAACTATCTACCCACCTATCTGTCTATCCTTCTACTTACTTATCTGTCCTAGTATCTATCCATCATCCATCCATCCATCTATCTATCCAGCTATTCATCCAGTCATCGCTACCTGCCGACCCCCAGTCACCCACTACCTATCTACCTGCCTAGCTTGTTTTTCCTCTTTTTACCACAATTTTTTCATCATGTTGCAGCGAAACTAGAAGAATTAGACCTTGAAAATAAGGCGTGCGAATATTTGAATGTTACATATAACGATCCAATTAATAATCTCAGCCGAAATGCTCTCGTCTTCAAGTAGTGTTATTTTTTTCATTTCTCCTTTCCTTTTATCTCTTTACTGCTATATTTATTCATTAATCTTATCACTCTTCTCTAAAGAGGCCCTACTCGGGTTAAGGAAATCGAGGCACTCTTCCTACATTTCATAGGCCTAGACAAGACTAAGGATTTCTACGCGGTTTCGTATTATATCATCAGTTCCTACAAGGAAATCGAGGAGAGGTGGGTGAAAGGGAAAGAAAACATAAACATGAACAAAACTAAAATAAGAGAAGGAAAAGGGTTTTGCTATACCTTTTTCTGGCATTGTTTTGACACAGTTTATATGATTAATTTATTATTTATGTTCTCTTTCTTTAGACTTTCATTCATTCATCCATCCATCCATCCATTCATCCATCCATCTATTTGATTTAGTTACTTTATTAAACTCTTCCTGCTTCTTTCGGCGTTCGCTTATTGGTGTCTTGTTTTTTGCTTCAGTCCTTCTCCCAGTCAGTACCTGAAAGAGTTGCACGGTAGACACCCGACTTATGCACTATCCGCCAATATGAGAATGTGGATAAAAATGAAAGTGAAGGGAATTGATTTTAACGAGATTAATCACGTCAATGAAAAACAAATGGACTTTGAAACAGAGGTTTCTTGCTGAACATTTACATGTAAACTGTTTAATGTTATTCTTTCTTTCTCTCTTCTTCCCTTTCAGTTTAGCACCATATTATTTAGGAAAAAGAAATTCGTTGGAGAACCTTTTTTCATATTTTTCGAATGGAAGAACAACTTAATGGAAATTTCCACCTTACTTTATACAGTCACACCCTGGAGTGTTGTCGCCTCTTTGTGCGGAATTTTGGTTACATTCGAAAAGTTTACCGCTCTAAGTTTGTCATTCAGGAAAAAGATAATGAAAGTTCGACAACAAGTTACGGGAATAAGACGTTTAAAGGCCTAATCTCTTATTATCTTTCCTAACAGACAATTTCAAAAGTTATAATTGCTATATAAAATTTTTAAAAGATAAATTATTATTGCCTTTGAGCCAATTTTAATTCGTTTTCTCTTTACATTCTCTATAGACTTCTTTTGGTTTCTTTTCATAGTTTCTCTTCATTTATCCTAAATACCTCCATTCCCATTTCTCTCTCTCTCTTTCTCTCTCTTCACTCCCTTTCCATCGACCTAAAGCGATGCATTTCTTATTATTTACTAATGATTAGTTGGGCGTATTGGGTTCGGTTTGGATGTGATTTCGATTACAAATCTGAAATATAAATCCACTGTTAGTCGTAAGAGATTAGCAAAAATACACGATTAGGTATGCTTTACAGATAAAACGATAACGTACACTTTGACAACACTAGTTTCAAAGTCAAAAGCCAGAGAGTGAGAGAGTGAGAGAGAGAGAGAGAGAGAGAGAGGGAACGGAAATTGACGGTAGATGGCGTAATTTGTAGAATTTTATAAACCCGAATGCTTAAAACGTGTTTTTCATTTACAATCTTCTTAAAGGCAACTGCTGTAGATTGTCCATTGGAATTTTTAAAGCGATTAGAAGGAGATTAAGAGAAAACTTAGTGAATAAAATTATCATATCAATAAGTAAAAATTGATTTCGGTCAAATAAGAATAAAGTATGATAAAAGATGTTAAAAAAGAAAATGATACACACAAAGAGAGGAAGATGATGGAGAAGAGAGAGAAGAGGGATAAGGGATAAGGGACGATTAGAGAAAAAAATACATAGTTCTAATATTTTTTCTCATTATAGAATGTATTAATTTTTTGAAAGAACTCGTCTCTGCTTTCCTTTTGAGAGGAGACCTCATTTATTCGTAATAAGAGGACAGTATATTTATTATATTTAAAGTGACTCTGTTTTTTTAAGATGTTCCCCCTCAGTAAAATCTCCTTGTTCATTCAGATCCAAAGTATACAAACTATTTCTCTTTCCCTGAATACTTAATATAAATAGTCGGGCGGCTACATTTACCGACTGGAAGAAGGATGACTGTTGCATTTGAGGGGGGAAGGAGAGAAAAACAAGCAGATAGGCATGGAAAACGGCAGAGACGAGGAAAAAGAAGAGAAAGGATATAAATGTGTGTTGTGTGTATATACAATATACAGTATTTGTATTTAGGCAGAGAACGACAGAGACAAAGGTAGAAAACTTTCTACGATAAAAACAATACAGTACGCGTCCTTCTCCTATTTCTCCTTTAAAATTTTCACCTCTCCCCTCCCCTCCTCTTCCCTCCGCCTCTCCTCCACTCTTCACCTCTTCCTTCGTCTCGTTAATTTTATTTCAACAAATAGGAAGCATACTTTATCTTTATTACTTTGTTTACATTTTTATATCCCGCAGGAACGTGATTTTTAACGGTTAACTATAAATTATCGCTTTTTCTACCTACAGTTTCAATGTCTCTTGTTCGTTTTTTTAACTGTGTTTTCTCTATTTTTATAACCGTCTAGCCGATTTGTTTATTCACTTTAATAAAAGCATTTCAACACCAATAAAAACTATGCAAACACCTCATTTACATATAGAAGAGAAAGGAACGAGAGAGAGAGAGAGAGGGAGAGAAGGAAGGACAGCAGGGGGAGGGGAAAGAGAAAGAGAGGGAGAATAAGAGGAAAAGTTATTTAATTAATTTAAGAGTTTTAAAGTATGTTTAGCATATGTTTTTCATTGGTTTACGTTGTTCTTTTATTCAAAACTCGTTTAGATTACATTTTCATGTAGTTAAAACAAGCACTCTACTCCTAAATAATGTGATTTATAAATAATAGATGGCGCATTTAATATTCTTTTCTTTTTTTACAAACACCTCTCTACATAGAGGCTGTTGAGTAGATTAGGCGATGTAAAACTGGAAAAATTCGATTTCTCTATAGAACTTTACTTGAGCGAAATCCGCTATCGACGGCATAGAATTTCCAGTGATTAAAGGAATTTTGTTCAAAACTTGTCAGAATCAATTAGAAAGGTTGTAAATAAACTTTTTCCCCTCTGTTTTTTTTATGTATTTTCACTATTCCAATTGTTAATTGGTAAAGTTTCCTGTAAATATTCCAATAAAACCTTTGTGTCTTTGAATTGGTCGGCGTTGAACCCGAAAATCTAGTTGGAACTACAAAAAATATACCGGATTTCGCTTTAGGGTTTGCTGATACCAGTACAGCCAATCAACGGAAGCTGGTAAAGTTCGGTTACTTGCTCGCCGACTCAATTCTCTTCGATATACTCCTCTACGGAACTGGCTACCCTACTAAATAGTGCAAAGAATAGGAAAGTTGCTCGACAGTCTAGCGACGAAGCTTCTGACGCGATGAACGTCTGCATCGTTGCCGTTTTTTAACAATAATAATTTAATAATAAACCAACCAGAAAGCGAGATATATTGTTTTGATTAAGCCTATTCAGCGCGTATGAAAGTATATATATGAATATACAAGTTTGAAGAGAGAAATAGGCCCAAAGCAAAAAGAAAAAAGAAGATGAAATTTTTCAAAAGAATAACAAACTTTACTTGGATTCTATTAATTCTAGTGATGAAAGCGACAAGTTCGGATATAACTAGTGTTAAGAACGTTATGTTTCGAGCGAGATGCCAAGTTTCTTGTTGGAGTGAGTTACATCGAAGAACGTTAGCGGTGAGTAGAGAATTAATAGTATTAGTTTAAGTCAATAGAGTAAAAGGACAAAGATAGTGCAAAGAATAGAATTACCAATGAATAAGTGTACTTCAGAACAAATTTGTAGGTTTTAAATCTATATATCTATCTATCTATATATATATATTTATATATTGTGATATAAGAAGATAAGGATTTATTCATTAATTGAACTAAGAAAAGAAATGATAAAAATCTCATTAATCCATTCAAGGCGCAAATCGTAAAATGAATATTAATAATTATAATCTAAGAGGGTGCTATTTCTTCGTCTTTGTGAACTCTTTCTACTAGAGAGAGAGAGAGAGAGAGAGAAAGAGAGATAGTTACGTGAACAGACAGACTGGGAGAAAAGGGATTCTGAAGAGCATTCCGACGCTGTTTTCAACGTAAATAGATTGTTTGATCAAGGGATATTTTAGAGTTTAAGATCTCTTGTGAAATTCGCCATAAAAAGTTTATTGGACTATTTGGTCGGTTTGTATTGAAACCGCTACCTTATACCGGTTAATAGAGTCGTTTCTTTCTCACCTCCTCCCACCTCCTCCCGCCCCCTCGTCCCTTTCTCTGCACGTTTATACTTCCTAGTAATGAGGAGAGAGTAAAATATATTCAAATTCATTTACTTTCCATAAAATTTTGATTAGATCTCTTTTGTTAATTAAATTATTCATAAACGCTCTTTTCTCTATTCTGTTTATGAATTCGTCAAATTTTCATCGAGTCTAGTTCTTTTTTACGAAAACTTTACAACAGCTAAAGGCAAACTTGCCACCGTAAGCCGATGCTCTAGTATTTAATATCGACAAACAAAATACAGAGAGGCAACCAATAATGATATATAGCTTAGAGATATTTTTAATCTCAACAATAAGTGTTCCTATACAATCCTCTCTAAAACATGATTTAATACTCGTAAATCGCTTATTGTACTTAAAGTGTAAGAGAGAGATAGAAAGAGAGAAGAGAGAGAGAGAGAGAGAGAAAGCGATATATCAATAGGCAAGGCATACATACATACATACATACATATATACAATATATATATATATATATAAATTATATATATATATATACGAAGTATAGAGAAACCAAGAAGGAGACTCTTCTACTTTTTTACGCATTCTTTTTTATTGTTCAAAAGAAATTTTATACAACTGTCGCTTCCTTTATGGCTAACCCCTTTTTTCTTTTGTTGGTTATTCCCTATTTCGTATGTTTCAACGCCGTCCCTCAGATCTAATGGATCTTGCGAGATGCTCCTTTTAACCTTTTCAATCTTAACCTTATTTCGTAAATTTTTTAGTCACTTTGCCTATCGTCTGTCGTCTATTCTTGATAAAAATTCTATAACGACCCCAAGTCATATACTTAAGGTTTTAGTGTAACAGTATTTTTATTGATTTTGCAGTTGTTCACCATTTCTTTTGAACAGGCGCGCTCGACCCGACCGTATCCATAAATATAAACAATGCTTGAACGCGTCTCGCATTTCAAGTGAGGGTAGCTTGTCATTGCTTTTTTAAATAAATAATTTACGATAGTTATCGAGTCCAATTCAATGAACAGTATATAAACATACGTTCAAGGGGAATTTTTAATAGTATTTTTCTCTTTTTCTCTCTCTCTCTTTCTCTTTCTATCATTCTGTCTCTCTTTTTTTTTATTTCTACCCTTCGACCTTTTCTCTCTTTTCTTTACACTCTTCTCTCCCTTTTTTATCCTTATCCCAATAAGTAAAGAAGGAAAATGGTTTTATGTATCTATCCCCTTTTTTTGGTAAAGTATATATAATCTTTAATTTCTTCCTCTATTCTTGTTTCTTTCTATATATATACTATTATATATACCATTTCCGTCTTTTCATTTCTCGCCCCCTCCCCCCCCCCACCCCATCTCTCTCTCTCTCTCTTTTTACCCGTTTTAATATAGTTGAAGGAGGAGGAGGTGGTGAGTGAGGGACCGAGTTGAGACGGCGGTTAAACCAAAGTAAAAAGAGCAGAGAGGAATGTAAAGAGAAAAGTGTGAGTGGAAGGTACTTGAACACTTATCGAACCAATAAAAAACGAAAGCTAAACATGTGTTAAAAAAAATGTCTTCTTGAAAAAATGCTGAAATTCTCCTCTTAAAAAAAACTTACGACAATAACATTTTGATTTACTAGCGATAAAATTGATAAATATCGATTGTTACCATTAAACTTAATGCATTTTAAGCGATCTGATCTCGACTTTGAAGTATTGCACATACTTTTTTCCTTCACGAGACTTTAATAAACTAACAAAACAGCGAATATAAAAAGAAAAAGAAGAAGAAATGATATGACGGGAAATGAAAAATTCTTTCTTTCTTACATTCTTTCTTACTCTTCTGAAGTGAAGAAAAACATAGACTAAATAGGAAAATTTGAGGGCAACTTGGCCAAAAGTTGCCAACTTTACTCTTTTCTTTATTTATAATTCGACCAATCATTCTAGGCCTATTTTCCTTATTTTCCTTCTTCTTCTTTACTTATTGTGCAAACCCTAAAAGTAAGTAATTCGAGTATAAAATGCAGTCTTTGTTAACAATGACAGGTGACTTTATGCGCCGCTTCCTATCAGATT